AACCCTTCTTACATTACTTTCATATTAAAAGTTTATTTCATTTGTATATAAACTCGTATTTGTATCTAAAACTATATTACATTCATGTNTACTTTCATATTAAAAGTTTATTTCATTTGTATATAAACTCGTATTTGTATCTAAAATTATATTACATTTATGCCATATGTTCAATGTAGTGATTATATCTCCTTTTATATTATGACTTTGACTCATATTTCTTTAAAATTACAAAAATAACTCCTAATTATAAAATTATATAAACAGTTCTCAAAATTTTGAAATCAAAGCGTCCCCAGTGTGTCGACTGCATGGCCTTAACGTGTATTGGGATAGCAGTGGACCGAAGCGGGGTGGGGGTGTAGTTTCTATCCCTGTACTTGCTTAAAAACACGCTGTTCATTCCCGGTCTACCCCTATTAACGGGTATACTTTTCACCCCATTCCCGTCCGTACTTAAATTTGTAATCCCCACCCCCATCCACCTTATCCGCCCTAGCCTAATCTTAAGCCAACATAATACAAAATTTTAAATAAATCTAACATTTTAAATAATCTAACATAATTATAGAATATCATAACATAATTAAAAGCTTGTCATCTACAATATAATTCAACATAATATAATTAAAACTTCGTCTATAACATAATTCAACATAATATAATTAAAAATTTGTCTCTCACGAAAATCCAACACAACATCATACCATACAATATAATGTAACGTAACATAATCCAACATAAAAAAACATAAAAATATAAAGATTTATACTTTTACAAGCAAAAAATATGAAAAAAATCAAAAAACAAAATAATTTTTAAAAGAAAAAATTATTTAATAATATGTAGATTTGTATTCACAGCAACATGTATATATATAGATATAGATATAAAATATTCATAATAATAACAGGTAAACGGGGCGGGGGTAAGTATCAGTTCATCCTGGTCTTCATTCCCACACGGGTTTATATGGGTATCTCGCGTATAGTCCATTCTCGGTCCAAACGAAGCGGGTTTGAACGAATACTCATTTGTACCTAGTTCACTGTCATCCTTAAACATGTCTTGAGTATGTTGCCCGCATGCCCCATCTTGTCCAAAACATGTTAGGAAAAAAATTCAACAATAAAAAAATTGGACACTCATTTTTTCGTGACCGACATGTATTTGAAACGTGTTTGACACCAACACACGGGCAAAAATGAAGTGTCTGTGCTTTTTAGATTAACATGGTAGTATTTTTAATTCTTACAACTAAAAACATTTAGATTTTGACTAGTTTTTTCAATGGGAGGAAGTGTAGTATCCATTTGTTGATTTCTACAGTATATCTCTAGCTGTGAAGAAACACTCTATAATTGTTTTTATATGAAATTATTTTTTTGTCGAAAAATACAATGTATGATAAATTTTATTTTTTCTATGTAGTTTATTGAGATGGGTGTCTACCTTGAGTTGCACGATTCGTCCAGAATGATTGGCGCTCTATTTCTCCGTGTTTTCAGAGCGAATTCGCCATGAATTCACACATTCAAATTATCGAATTCGCGGATTCAAGTTTACGAATTCGCGAACTCGACTAAGCAAATCCACGTGCTTGATTCATTAGTTCGGTGAATTTGACTAACCAAAATTGTGCATTAAGATAATAGAATCCACGAATTTATGAAATAAATTTTCTGATTTAGGACGAATTAATATGTTTGACATAGACCTAGTTCAAAAGAATCCCCAAGATTTGTAGAATTTGAACTGAGATCTTAACATCGTTGTGCAGACGTTGAAAAAGAAAAAGAAAAAAAAGATGGATAGAAAGAAAGCACAAAATTGCATAGCCACACATTTAACCCTAAATCACAAAAATCTCCATTCAATTTTTCAACTATTCAACCCAAAATTACAACCCTTTTTGCAATTGCACAAACAAAAGATGAAATTGAGATTATTTGTGACACATACTAGTAAAATCATTTGAGAATTGCAGCCTTTTCCTTCTTCATATTTAACTTTGTCGTCTTCGACTTCGTTTTGCCAGTGTAGAAGGTAGAGCCGTAATCCTTTCCTCCAATCATCGACACGATGACAAACACAGTTCATCCCCAACTGTTTCTTCTTCTTCTCTCTCTTTTTCTCTTCAAATAAAGAGTCAAAAAACTGTAGATATGAACATCAATCTATTGTGTTTTGGATAGGAGAAATGATATTTGGACACAAAATATTGACATTTTTTGTTGACTCCCTCCATCACAACCATTGAATAGGTAATGAATTCCAATAAATACTGGTACTCACAATTAAATCAAATGTTGAGAGTCAGCAAATGTTGGTAATTTTTTTTGTCCAAGTAGCATTCTCTTTGGACAAACTATCCTGTTTTGGTTAGATTTGGATAAGTTTTTATGATTAATAGNATCAAAGCGTCCCCAGTGTGTCGACTGCATGGCCTTAACGTGTATTGGGATAGCAGTGGACCGAAGCGGGGTGGGGGTGTAGTTTCTATCCCTGTACTTGCTTAAAAACACGCTGTTCATTCCCGGTCTACCCCTATTAACGGGTATACTTTTCACCCCATTCCCGTCCGTACTTAAATTTGTAATCCCCACCCCCATCCACCTTATCCNATCAAAGCGTCCCCAGTGTGTCGACTGCATGGCCTTAACGTGTATTGGGATAGCAGTAGACCGAAGCGGGACGGGGGTGTAGTTTCTATCCCTGTACTTGCTTAAAAACACGTTGTTCATTCCCGGTCCACCCCTATTAACGGGTATACTTTTCACCCCATTCCCGTCCGTACTTAAATTTGTAATCCCCACCCCCATCCACCTTATCCGCCCTAGCCTAATCTTAAGCCAACATAATACAAAATTTTAAATAAATCTAACATTTTAAATAATCTAACATAATTATAGAATATCATAACATAATTAAAAGCTTGTCATCTACAATATAATTCAACATAATATAATTAAAACTTCGTCTATAACATAATTCAACATAATATAATTAAAAATTTGTCTCTCACGAAAATCCAACACAACATCATACCATACAATATAATGTAACGTAACATAATCCAACATAAAAAAAACATAAAAATATAAAGATTTATACTTTTACAAGCAAAAAATATGAAAAAAATCAAAAAACAAAATAATTTTTAAAAGAAAAAATTATTTAATAATATGTAGATTTGTATTCACAGCAACATGTATATATATAGATATAGATATAAAATATTCATAATAATAACAGGTAAAGGGGGCGGGGGTAAGTATCAGTTCATCCCGGTCTTCATTCCCACACGGGTTTATATGGGTATCTCGCGTATAGTCCATTCTCGGTCCAAACGAAGCGGGTTTGAACGAATACTCATTTGTACCTAGTTCACTGTCATCCTTAAACATGTCTTGAGTATGTTGCCCGCATGCCCCATCTTGTCCAAAACATGTTAGGAAAAAAATTCAACAATAAAAAAATTGGACACTCATTTTTTCGTGACCGACATGTATTTGAAACGTGTTTGACACCAACACACGGGCAAAAATGAAGTGTCTGTGCTTTTTAGATTAACATGGTAGTATTTTTAATTCTTACAACTAAAAACATTTAGATTTTGACTAGTTTTTTCAATGGGAGGAAGTGTAGTATCCATTTGTTGATTTCTACAGTATATCTCTAGCTGTGAAGAAACACTCTATAATTGTTTTTATATGAAATTAATTTTTTGTCGAAAAATACAATGTATGATATATTTTATTTTTTCTATGTAGTTTATTGAGATGGGTGTCTACCTTGAGTTGCACGATTCGTCCAGAATGATTGGCGCTCTATTTCTCCGTGTTTTCAGAGCGAATTCGCCATGAATTCACACATTCAAATTATCGAATTCGCGGATTCAAGTTTACGAATTCGCGAACTCGACTAAGCAAATCCACGTGCTTGATTCATTAGTTCGGTGAATTTGACTAACCAAAATTGTGCATTAAGATAATAGAATCCACGAATTTATGAAATAAATTTTCTGATTTAGGACGAATTAATATGTTTGACATAGACCTAGTTCAAAAGAATCCCCAAGATTTGTAGAATTTGAACTGAGATCTTAACATCGTTGTGCAGACGTTGAAAAAGAAAAAGAAAAAAAAGATGGATAGAAAGAAAGCACAAAATTGCATAGCCACACATTTAACCCTAAATCACAAAAATCTCCATTCAATTTTTCAACTATTCAACCCAAAATTACAACCCTTTTTGCAATTGCACAAACAAAAGATGAAATTGAGATTATTTGTGACACATACTAGTAAAATCATTTGAGAATTGCAGCCTTTTCCTTCTTCATATTTAACTTTGTCGTCTTCGACTTCGTTTTGCCAGTGTAGAAGGTAGAGCCGCAATCCTTTCCTCCAATCATCGACACGATGACAAACACAGTTCATCCCCAACTGTTTCTTCTTCTTCTCTCTCTTTTTCTCTTCAAATAAAGAGTCAAAAAACTGTAGATATGAACATCAATCTATTGTGTTTTGGATAGGAGAAATGATATTTGGACACAAAATATTGACATTTTTTGTTGACTCCCTCCATCACAACCATTGAATAGGTAATGAATTCCAATAAATACTGGTACTCACAATTAAATCAAATGTTGAGAGTCAGCAAATGTTGGTAATTTTTTTTGTCCAAGTAGCATTCTCTTTGGACAAACTATCCTGTTTTGGTTAGATTTGGATAAGTTTTTATGATTAATAGTTGGGTAAATAATATTATAATAGTGAACCTAATCACTTAGTTAGTTTTAAACTTACGGTAATACTTTATTTTAAATTTTATTTCTACAATATTTCTCTATTTAGCAGTAAAAATTCTTTAATATTACATCTTACAATTAAACTTGAATGGTAGTTATTTATTCATTAATATAAAATATTAAATTTATCGGTGTTATGCATATCGAGTATTGCAATTGAAGTTAATAGTTGAATCTCCCAAAATATATGACTAACGAAAAGAAAATTCAAGCCTCAAATGCCTTGGACTTAAGCCTGAGGCACATGTCTCGTGCGCCTTGGTTGTGGCTGCATGAAATTGCCTTGTAAGTCGCTTTAGGTGCAATTTGCCTGTGCCTAGGCATGCTTTTCACAGCATTTCTCCCTCTATGCTTGATAAATAGTTATCGACTAATCGTATAACAAAGTCTTATACTAAAAATTTGTGATCTGCTTCATGAATCCTGTTTCAGTATTGTGGATGATTATCAAGGCTCATATTTGATGTTACATCACAATATAATATCCTTTTACACAATTTTATATAAAGTTAATTTTGGTTTACTTGAGCTCTCGCATTATGTAAAATTAGGGGTCGTGCACACACAGTACCGAGTGCATGGAGGAGGAGAAAAATATAGAAATGGGAAGCGATTAGAATAGATAAATTTAGGTGGTTAAATGTGGTAGAGGAGAAGTTATTGGTGGTTAACTACTTAAATGAAAGAAAACATGCTAATAATTACAAGTAAAGGGAAAGGACACCAACCCACTCTCTTCCTTTATTGGTATTATGTAAAAAGATATCGTATCCATTGTTCTTACTACTGACATAATAATTTTTTTTATAAATATCTCTTAAGTTCAACCAGCAAAGTTGATTATTCCTTAATTTATCTCCTATTGGTACTACTTTTACTCTTTTAGGAATATATTTTTTTAACCTCTATTGTCTATTGCACACTCATTCAACTTCAGAAGAGCACAACTCTAACTAGCGAAGTGAGGCAATCAAGCTCTTGATTTTTTATTCCAGAATCTTTCTTCAGAAAGCAGAAGTTTGTCAAGGTTATTCTTGGCCGAATCTAACTCCATTTTCTTATAACCAGACCAACTCTGTTCAAGAGCAAATTGACCTTCTTCGTTTTCAGCATTTCTATATTCTGAAATAGTTCACCAGTTCAATGCTTGATTTGTCAAGTCAATCTTCCTGAAGAAGACTGGAAAAGGATTTCATGAACGTGGTTAGCCAAACTAACAACTAAAATAGATATTAAAAGAGTCAATATTTGCCCGCGAAAGCTTTCTTATCTTTTTTTGCTAAATTTGGGGCATTTCGAAACGATAAAAGACATAACAAAATAAAGATCCGTTGTAACTCCAAATTTCTATCATTTTTTTTCTAAAAAGAAAATATATGTTTAGTTATAGCGCACCACCAACCCTTGGCACAATGATCAGGTCAAGCAAGAGATGCTCAAATAAAAAAGTGTTTGAATTCGGGCGTTTGGAATGAAAGAAGCATTGCTTCAATCTTTTATGTGTGACCTTCGCTTCATGCTATTGACGTGTCTTTTGCTTGGGATGAGTGCATGGTGGGTATTGCTTCTGGAACCACTGTTGACGCAACCAGTGGCTTCGTGTTCTGCAGAAGGAATATCTAAGAAGAATCTTGTGTTGGGTATCATACATTCATCTCAATATCCTTATTTTTGCTCCACTTAATTTTTATGCATGTTGTTTCTTAATTGCACGTCATTTGGTATAAAATATGACCTGTTCTATGGTTGCCTTGTAGACCAACTCAACATATATTGTACAAGACACATTTCACTCCAATGATGATAGCAACCAATGTTCTCATCATTATTGTTTTATGAAAGATGTTTATCACATAAAAGATGTCTTGTTCTTCCTAAATTAATTGTATGAAATTGACCTCTTTTATCTGTTTTTTTCAATGAAATTTGTTGAATTGTGATCAATGTTGTGTATGTGGTGGATTTAATTACATTTATGAGTATCAAAACTGTCTGAGGTTTGAGGGAAATTCTAACAAGCTATCGCTATCACTAAGTTAGCATTCTGGTCTTAAGCAAATCAGTCCAACCCAGTCGTCTCTGTCCCTCTGTCTCTTAGTCGAATATGCAGGAAGGTAAGGCTTGGCTATAGTAGCATCGGTCGAGCTCTTTCTTCTCTCATTTCCGTGTCAGTGTAGTTCAAGGTTGGCTAGCTCAGTCAAGATTGTATTTATACTTATACTTGTTTATCATTAGGGGTAGTCTAGTCTTTTCTTATTGTAGGTTATCAAAGAAGTAGACCTGTTTTCTCTCTTACTCTTCTACGTATGTCTTTTCTTCTTTGCAAGTTTAGTATAAGTTTTCAAAAACCACATACCTGATGTATCGAATTCTTAATTACCTTTATTTTAACTATCTGCTACTATATGCTGCCACTGATGGGGGAAATACAAAATGCTGCAGGATTCTTTCATGCTTCAAGTTAAATGCTTTTGAATATCTTAACCTTCCGTTTGATTCATCACCTGAAGAAGTGAAAAAGCAATATCGGAAGGTAATTCCTTAATTATGAGTGTTTTGTTGATGATCTGATATCTTATAATACAATCATGCATCGACATGTTTAATGCCATTTATTGTCTTGTAGTTATCTTTGCTGGTTCACCCTGACAAGTGCAAGCATCCACAAGCAAAGGAGGCATTTGGTGGTAAGTGTGTCTCTGCATTATTTGTTGTCCTTGGGTAAGGAATATGGTATAATGGGTAGCTTTGTCTTTTATTTGGATAATTTTGAGGTCTTGGGCATGAGATTTGTACACTCCAGAGTTTCAATAACATTTTTTTGCCATGATTAATTATCTGTCATTCTGTGGAAGTTTACCATGTAGAGGAAATCATTGCATCAGAATTGTTTTTCTTACTTGGAGATACTGATGTTTGTTTCTCCCATATTGGAATAAAATACACCCTGTTGGTCTTGCTGTTATGTGCTTGTGTGTATAGTGCATGTTTTGTTCTTACTTATCTTAAGCCGGTGTATCTTTCTATTTTTTGTTTTTTAAATTTTATGTTACCTGTTGTACAAACGGGTTTCACAACTTGGGGGCTAGAACAATTTGTTTTAGTAGCACCACTTAGACTCGAATTGATTTAAATCTTGACAATTGTTTGTGTTGAAGTATAGAGTTACATCCTCTCTAAAAGTTTAAGTTTTTGGAGTAGATGATTGTTTGACATGGTATCAGAGTAGGAGGTCTTGTGTTCGAATCTCACTGTCACCCTAATTATTATNTTGGAGTAGATGATTGTTTGACATGGTATCAGAGTAGGAGGTCTTGTGTTCGAATCTTACTGCCACCCTAATTATTAAAAGTTTTCCTTCTGCAGTGACTAGTGAGGTGATATAGTGGTTTGGTGTTTGGAGCAGTAATCGCATTTTGTTTTTTGTAGTTTTTGAGGAATGCTTTTGGCATGCATACACAGGGGGACTATTGTTTCCTAAGAAGCATGAACACGGATACGGAACATAGATACGATACGACATGGATACGTCGATACTAAATTTTTCAAAAAAATAGGACATAGACAAGTTGGCAATACGTTATATATATATATATATATATATATATATATATATAAAATCATGTGATAAAATAAAAGTAGTTACTAATTTTCATCAATTTCCAAGAGTCCAAATTTTGTAACCTCATTTTTTTCATATTAATTTTATATTAAAATATTATTCTATTTGTGTATAAATTAGTATTCGTATCCAAAATTATATTACATTCATGTCATATGCTCAATGTAATGATTATAACTTCTTTTATATTATGATTGTGACTCATATTCCTTTAAAGTTACAAAAATAACTCTTAATTATAAAATTATATAAAAAGTTCTAAAAAAATTTAAAAATAAATCTCAAAATGTATCCCTAGCATGTCGCCTGTGTGTCCCAACATTTTATGAGCATGTTGGCCGCGTGTCCAAAAGTCCTAAAAAAATTTCACAATAAAAAATTGAACACTCATTTTAGCTTGCCCATGTCGGAGAAGTGTTTGACACCGATACTTTGCCCAAAATAAAATGTCCGTGCTTCCTAGGTTGTTTCAATATGTCGTCACAAAAATCCCCGTTTTCTCCTAGGTTGCATTTTTGTGTAGATGTGGGTCTATTAAGGACAATAGAATGTGCAAACATTTGTATCCTTCATACACTACACCCTATGTAACTTACCGAGTTTACCTGTTGTTAACGAGGCTGCTAGGCATCACAAATTTTTGCTCGGCTGAGGTGACTAACATTCTGACTTGGTTAATCATATGCTATTGAACTTCTCACTTTCCTCTTCTATTTAAGTTTTTCTTTCTTAATCAAAAAAAAAAGTTNAGGTGACTAACATTCTGACTTGGTTAATCATATGCTATTGAACTTCTCACTTTCCTCTTCTATTTAAGTTTTTCTTTCTTAATCAAAAAAAAAAAAATTTTCAGATATTTTTATTGGTTGGGAATTTCTTCAACTCCTTTGAAATTGTGGATTGTTCGTGACTTGTTTTCCCAATTTTATTATCTGTTGTGGGGAAAGGCAGATTGATTTTTTAGGGCAAAACCGTGGTAGTAGAAGCAGAGCATAGTGTTAGTGTGATAGCTAAATGCTACTTTGGAGGCTCCATACCTCAGATTTCTCATCATTGGATTCCCTCGTGCTCAGCTATGTTGATGTGTAGATCTTTTTTTTTTTGGTGACTTATTGTCTGCATTGGAGTTTTTATTACGTCCATACATGCTTGTGGAAATCGCGACTTTATAATTGTTTCATAGATCCCTTTTTTCTTGAAATACAGATGTGTATGACTCTACTTGAAGAGTGACATCCTTCAAATGCAAGGATATAAATAAAATCAAAGGGGAGAAAAACATTGGAATTTTTTTGTTTTATTTCTTCAACAACAGTTACATTCCTCTGTTGATGATCTTTGAGTTGATCAAGTTCTCTCCCATTTAAAAAGTCCAAACATGTTTGGGAATTGTAAATGTGTTACTTATTATGATGTAATTCTTACATGTGCGTATTAGCCAAAAATAAAGATGCATAAATCATAAGGTTTATTCTAAATTTTGACATTCTGATTGTACTCTGCAAGTGATGTTTGTGCTTTGCATACATGATCCCACTTTGGTGCCTGTTTTATGCTAGTTGAGTGCTATCTTTCAATAATCTGCTCTTGTTAATTTTTTGTTTCCTCATAGTCATAAATGAAGTTCCTAATTATATATGGAGAACTGAAAGGTAGTTCTCCATTGACTTCTCTCTTTACCCCTTCGCATATGCACCTAAATGGGTGTGCACCTCCAGATAGAGGAGAGGCGGCCTCCCACTCTCTTATGCAGCATTTATTAGATTAGCTGGGTTTGGTGGATCGTGCAAAAAGCTTCTCTTTTCTGAATCTTTCCTTAATTTTGCATTAAGCTCTTCACTGAAATATATTTTTATCTTTTTCTGCAGCATTAGCTAAAGCCCAACAATTATTGCTTGATTCTCAAGAAAGAGAGTATCTTATTAGCCAAGTAAATTCTGCAAAAGGTCTGTGGTAGCATTGATATCTTTACTTTCCCGCTGGATTTATTGTTTCATTGACTGGATCCTTCCGTGAGTAGTTTCTCTATCTTCCATCCCCCCTCCCCATCTCTCCCCTCCAGAGTTGGATTTCACCTCATGGCTCTGACATTTTCACAAATAGAGATGCATTTTTTCAGTTGTTTTCTTCTTTCTTCCTCCTTTGATTACAGATTCTTTTTTCTCCCCTATATATTGTGAGGCACTCTGCTTATTTCTGAAGGATATTCCAGACATTTATGAACAATTGTAATTGCTACTAATTCTGCTTTTGCGGCTATAAGGAAATTTTTGGTAATGGAGTACCTTTTTAGTACATAAATAAAAACTCCTTGCTAAAATTTTTGGTAGTACAAAAATTTTTGGTAATTTTTGGATGGAATGTTATTTTTGGTATTCCTGATTCCTCAGTACTTATTTCATTCCTGCCTGATGAATTCGATGTCAGGAAGGCTCACCCTATTACTTTTGAACTGCAGAAGAACTTAGAGCAAAGAGGAAGAGGCAGCTGAAGAAAGACACTGCTTCAAAGATAAAGTCATTAGTTGATGAGGTAATATGAGGCCTTTTTCATTTAAACATTACTTGAATGCATGCTTACAACCTTGGTTTTAATGCTGCAAGGGTGAATTAATGGTTCAATATATGCTAGCTAACATGTTGGTATGTAAAGTTGACATTGCTTTATGGAGGTGGACGATGGATTTGCTGGAAGAGGACTCAAGTGTTTTATGAGTTCAGCATGTCAAGAACTATAAAAGGAACTATCTTCTTTTGAAGCCATTTTGAACATTTATATGGTGATGTACACCTTATTTGACATAAAGATGCATTCCCTGATTTTTGGGCAAGTTTTCGTCTGGGCACCTCATTAATTTTGATAGATGTCCCAAACCCAGAAAAAAGAGGATGGTTGTGTTAAATAGCTGACAGCCTCATCAGATTAAATATGAATTGAGTGGACTCTATGGATGAAATGATAGTTTTTGTTGTTCAATTGTGTTTTCCTTTTCCTTTTTCTCTTTGTCTTTTTGGCATTGCTTCACACTTTCTCCCCTCCTCCATGAAGGGGGTTACTTTGTTGAGACTGGTTTGGTGTGGTGAGCTATTAATTTATGTTCTTTTTTCTGACATAACAAAAATTGTTTGGGGAGTTCATATTTTCCTGTCATGAAGTAAAGTCGTGAGTCCTATGAGAGTTGGAAAGTTTATCTGCAGATTTCTTCGAAAACTACCTAGGGTGCCTTAAGGTTGTCATGACAGTGTTTTTAAATATGCTGCTATAAGTTGGTGGATTATATTCTCTTTTTTCCTAACATGGTATCTAAGAATTGGAAACAAAATGGTTTCATTGGCAACTTTTGTTTGTCATCAACATTCTGTCTTTTCTTGTATTTTGCCTACTCTTTGGGATCAATATTGTACTTATTATTCCAATTATTTAAGTCAAACAGTTCTTTTAGATCTATGCCCTTAAACATTGGTGCAGGGAAAATACGAACAAGAGTATGAACGATCTGAGGAATTTCAGCAACAACTAAAAATGAAAGTTCGAGAACTGTTGACAGAGCAAGAATGGCGTAGGAGGAAAATGCGGATGAGGGTATGATTAAGCTTACCTTTTTTTCTTGTTTTCTTTTGTATTTGTGGTTGTACTTCCATGACCCTTCTGTCTTTCTGATGTTGCTTAGATATCAGAAGAGGAAGGTAGATTAAAGAAGGATGAGGAAGAAACAAAAGAGATGTGGAAAAGAAAGCGTGAGCATGAGGAGCAGTGGGAAGGAACAAGAGAACAGAGGGTAAGTTTATCATATATATTCATTTTCTAGTATTTTCTTCTTGCTTCATTTCTTATTATATCCTGTACATATGGAATGTGTGTGTATAAGGGTTGGACACTACATTCAGCTGGCCTGCTTAGTTGTACTANGAAGGAACAAGAGAACAGAGGGTAAGTTTATCATATATATTCATTTTCTAGTATTTTTTTCTTGCTTCATTTCTTATTATATCCTGTACATATGGAATGTGTGTGTATAAGGGTTGGACCCTACATTCAGCTGGCCTGCTTAGTTGTACTCGGTGCAAGCATGTGTCTAGAGGTTGAACTCGTCAAAAATTAGGATAACAAGTCACAACTGAATTGAGCAGCCTGTTTTTCTACGACCTATGTGAGGTGATGTACTCAGTGGCACAGGCAGTAGCAGATCTTGGACAAGTACTTTATTTAACGAATACCATTCTTACTGTGTTCATAACATAATATGCACGAAAAAAAATTGCCTGAACTCCTTTCTAATCAGGGACAGGGAGAAACATTCAGGACAGACTTAGAACACATTCAGCACACGTTGGGGACATGTTCAAGATACTTTTTAATTGGGAAAAAAAGTTGGGGCTTAGTTATGAATTAAACAAACCTGTGTCATCTTCCAGCAGCCTCAAGTGATTGCTGATAACGTAGCCATCAGGCTAAAAGTCCTTTTTCATTTTAGTTCAAGATTCTTTCTTCACTTTTGGTTTCATGACTTTGTTGTGTTGACTTGCAACAATGTTGTGAAGTTGAGGAATGATTGAAATTATGAATAATAGATCACTGTCTAGATGTAGTAATGTGTCCTCTTTGTGTCCTTCTCTGCTTTACTGAGTACTTTTGGCCTGGAATCCCCATGTTATGTTGTATCTGATTCCCATGTAGGTATTTGTACTTCTAAGATCTCAACAATTACAACTTAGATTATGTTTATTAATCCAAGTATGTTTCGGTATGTTGTCACCTTTGTTTATGAAGTCTGAGATTTTGTTAGATTCTGTCAAATTCTGTCAAGTGGAGTCAAAGTTTTACCAGGCTGGACTGCCACAGCCTACTTTTGGATTTAGGCAGGTGATGGTAGCTTACTTTTGGTGATAAGTTGTATCGTTTTCTAACTACCGACTTCTTGAGTATGGCTGAAACCAAAGCAACATGATGCTTTTTACAGAATTTTCTTGGGCAAAAATTGACATGGCTGTTCATTCTTGACTATCCAAGTATACGCCTTTCGTTCTGCGAAGAATAGTTCATATAATGATTAACAGCTAGTTTGCTTGTCGATATGATCATACTTTTCAACATGTAGATCTTTAGGCAAGGATCCACTGGGTACAACATCCATATCTAGTAACGTTATTACAACCATGTTCTCTTTGGAATGCGCTGTGATTACAGTTAAATAGCAGAATCACTTGAACGAAGAAGCCATGTTACGGATACTGGCCTTTTAACACATTAGAATTGTGTCCAATACTACTTGGATATGATCACGATTTTAAAATTGCTTTCATACATTTGAATTTTGGTCAGCATTTCTTGGATAATTCCAGACATGGGAGTACATAAACACAAACTTTTTGGCAACAAAAGCTTGCTTGGCCTGTGTTGTTCTGAATGAATATGTCCTCAAACATCTTTACTTCTGCATTGTACTTCTGGCTATTTTTAATTTGCACAATACAAGTATATGCATTCTCTAATTGTAGATAACCACACATATATGAACATGTGTAGCAATTCTATTTTCCATTTTTTCCTTGGCTTGTGGATGGAGCCTGGCCAGGGACACAAAAAAGCTACCCGAATTTCATGTGATCTTCATTGTAACGTTAATTTATTCCTTTGCATTAGATGTACCATGCAGATAGAGATCTGACCCACTTTTATACAGTTGTGCTGAAATGCCCTAGTTACTGCCCCTACTTTAGATTGTCTATGAAAATCGGTCCCCGTATTTAAATATATTTGTTTGTGCTTTAACACTAATTTATTTTAGAAATGAAGATAAATCTTTTATAGACCAACAATTTGGCTATCTTAGCATTTAGTAACTAGAGGTTCGGAACATAAAACCGATGATTTGCATCACCTTGTTAAATTTCAGAAAGTCAGGTTTATTTGTTGGGGTCTAATTCTCTCTTTCTATTATCATCAGGTCTCCAGCTGGAGGGATTTTATGAAAGGTGGAAAGAAGGTTAGATTATCCACTGATCTGACCTTTTTCATTCAATCATCTTTTGCCTTGTGCATAATGCACTAAAGCAGATTGGACAAGTCATTAAAAGTTTCATGTACTTGTACAGGTAAAGAAAGGAGAACTTCGACCCCCGAAGCTCAAGACAGAAGACCCCAACAAATCTTATGTTCAGAGGCCTGTGAAGCGAGGTTGAGAAGGCGCTGCTGATGTCGCTAGCTTACAGGAGGACTGAATGTGTGCTCTAAAGAGGCTTTCAGGGTAGGCTGAAATTTGTTTCAACCCATATCCGTAGGAAAGCTTATTATCGCACGGCAGTGCTTTGAGCACTGTACCATTTACCTTATTGTGTTGATGGTTAATCCATGTTGGGGATTTGAGTCTTGATAGTGATAAAATGAAGATTTTATATGCACATAACTGATGAAACTCTGGCAAACCACGCTTTACATTTTCTGATTGTTAGTCAAGTATTGTAACTTAGTTTCCACAGAGTCGAGCTGGTTCAGGATCGTGACTTCGAAAAATGCAAGAACACCCCTCCCATTTTCTTCTTCCTCAGAAGAACACGCCAAAACGTAGATCCCCATATATCAACACAGCCTTGTATGGCGACATTGACACCGAGGGTTGCAAGTTTGGACATAACTCAAAATCGATACAAAATTAGTGAGTTAGAATTAATTGATTCTCGAGATGAATAGGAAAATAATTTGTTATATTAACACAAATAATAAAAAAGTTAATATTATCTAGCATGTAACTGCCTCGATACACATTTTAAACTAGTTGGTACTACAAAAATGACATTTTTTTATAATTTTATCCGATGATCAAAATGAATTATCTTAAATGATGTGGTTTTTTCACTTATATTTATTATCATATGGACTTAAATAGACCTTTAGCCTATAAATAAAAATGGTGTGTTATGAGTTTGGTTACGAAATCTTAGTATTAGATTTTTTATTAAAGGAACAGGTCAGCTTGAGCAAACACGATAATAAACAAGTCAAAGACATGACACGATTAATTAATAGAGTTGAGTTAAGATTGTGCAGATTTAAGTCCAAAACCACACGAAATGCTACAAAGATCAAACCACAAGAGGAANACTGATGAAACTCTGGCAAACCACGCTTTACATTTTCTGATTGTTAGTCAAGTATTGTAACTTAGTTTCCACAGAGTCGAGCTGGTTCAGGATCGTGACTTCGAAAAATGCAAGAACACCCCTCCCATTTTCTTCTTCCTCAGAAGAAAACGCCAAAACGGAGATCCCCATATATCAACACAGCCTTGTATGGCGACATTGACACCAAGGGTTGCAAGTTTGGACATAACTCAAAATCAATACAAAATTAGTGAGTTAGAATTAATTGATTCTCTAGATGAATAGGAAAATAATTTGTTATATTAACACAAATAATAAAAAAGTCAATATTATCTAGCATGTATCTGCCTCGGTACACATTTTTAACTAGTTGGTACTACAAAAATGACATTTTTTTATAATTTTATCCGATGATCAAAATGAATTATCTTAAATGATGTGGTTTTTTCACTTATATTTATTATCATATGGACTTAAATAGACCTTTAGCCTATAAATAAAAAAGGTGTGTTATGAGTTTGGTTACGAAATCTTAGCATTAGATTTTTTATTAAAGGAACAGGTCAACTTGAGCAAACACGATAATAAACAAGTCAAAGACATGACACGATTAATTAATAGAGTTGAGTTAAGATTGTGCAAATTTAAGTCCAAAACCACACGAAATGCTACAAAGATCAAACCACAAGAGGACGAAATGCTGCAAGACCAAGCCAGAGGGAGACAAAATATAAGAAGTAATCCGATAAATGAAAACAGCAAACAATCTATTTTTCTGAATCAGAGCCTCAAAGCTTGTTCCTCCTGCCTATTATCAAGAGAATATAGTTGGCAAATAAAAAGATAAAACTGTGAAAATGGACGATGAGTCCAATCTTCTCACATATGCAAAAGAGCCTCTTATCTCCACACAAAAGTTACATTCTACAGAGCAGAAAACCAAAAAAAAAATTAAACAAAGCAATACCTCTATGATACATGAATGCCCAGGATTTTCACACCATACCTGACCAATCACATATGGGGGGGACGTCATGAACTCTTTTTTGAAAAAAAAAATAATAATAATACACCTACACGAGGGATGAAAAATATATAGAACTACCAATAAAAATACCCAGCACCACCCACCCGACGGGAAAAACAAACAGGACTGTAACTTCTACCTGCCTGCGGCTCAATGTACAAAGGGAAATTTTTGGGAACCCAAACTGCTCTCACATTCCGAGTACAGTAAACTACCAGCCTTTTGAGATGTGGCTTTCAAACTCGGGATCTTCGTCCTCTGTGGGCTTATCCATTGAGTGAAAAATTCCAATGTTCTGCAATCCATCAGATACCCAACAGGAACAAAGATCACAAGTTCAGGGAATCCCCCAAATGGTGTCATGCTATATACAGACCACCGAAAACCCAGGTATTAGCGCAAGCCTGGAGGAGAGGAGCATAGAGAAACAATCTGGGTTCCATAATCTAAATCCAGGCAAGAGAACCCCGATCATTAGTAACTTGAGGACGGCCTCTAGTTGGTGTCGGTGGTCTGTTAGCATTAAGCTCCTAAATCCACAAAGAACAATGCAAACAATATCATTGTGAGAACAATGTGAAAAAGTTTATACGAAAAGAATACAGCAACAGATGAAACCAAATAATAGAGAAAACAGTAAGTTGCACCTGCATCCATGTATCTTCTATATGACGTTCAGGTGAAGCTTCTGGTGATGAAATTGCTGGTGGCAACGGATGTATAAGCTTTGGAACCACAACAAGATCTCTACCCAAAACTAAGATTGCACCAGCATTATTTGCTGTGCCTACAGAAACATGCCAAAAAAATGTGTGCGCATGAAGTAAACAAAGATGTTTTAATAGGCTCAGTCACGTATCAAAGCTCCTNAAGCAATACCTCTATGATACATGAATGCCCAGGATTTTCACACCATACCTGACCAATCACATATGGGGGGGACGTCATGAACTCTTTTTTGAAAAAAAAAAAAATAATAATACACCTACACGAGGGATGAAAAATATATAGAACTACCAATAAAAATACCCAGCACCACCCACCCGACGGGAGNATAACAAAACCAGAACTTACAGTCATACATAACATGACAAATAAAGTGACAGAACATCGATATGCCAGTGCCAAAAAATATGATTTTATTAACATGATTTAACCAATATTGCAAGAAGAAACTACTAACAGTTTTTGGAGTATAGACAAGTACGCATAAGAAAGAATAATTTACACAATTACGTATAAATAAACTAAAGCCATCATGTAGGTTACTGGAAACTGTATCAAATGAATGTATTAGAGAATTTCAGCTAAAGAAACTGTGTAGTTAACAGCCAAACTTGCAAACGGCGAGCAAGTAGACTGCTTAAGGTAATTTTACTGCTGTTCCAGATTTAATAGATACAAGGTCTTCCAGTTTTGTGTTTTTGCTTCATATACAAGTACACCCTTTGATTTTTATGCACAATGGGCTTGAGATATTGAACTCAAAAGGCTTAAAACTATAGTATTCAAGAACATCAGAGCTAACATAACTTTGGGAACATATGTAGTGTTTCTTGATTGGATGACACACCCCTCTGGTTTGGCATACCGTTACTCGCTTCTTGTCTAATGTCTACATTCAGTGAAAAAAGGCTAAAGATGCATCTAGTTCCTTAAATGGAGATGGCTGATTCACCATATAGAAAAGGACAGCAACTAGGATTCAATTGTCCAGTGCAGCCTTTAGCCTCTATGTTTGCCGACCTCAAGCTTCTGTCTCGCTAGATCCACCATTTTGTTTGAGAGAAGGTGTTACATAGAGACATTATCACACCATTTGTCCAATTTGATAATCAACTTGTTGATATGTTTATTAAATTGTTGAGTAGTTCTCGGTTAAGAGATACTTTTTCCAAGTTGGGATTATATGTATATATTCAACAGCTTGAAGGGGAGTGTTATAATGTAAATGAGTGGCACCACGTAATAACTACNTATTAAAGGAACAGGTCAGCTTGAGCAAACACGATAATAAACAAGTCAAAGACATGACACGATTAATTAATAGAGTTGAGTTAAGATTGTGCAGATTTAAGTCCAAAACCACACGAAATGCTACAAAGATCAAACCACAAGAGGAAGAAATGCTGCAAGACCAAGCCAGAGGGAGACAAAATATAAGAAGTAATCCGATAAATGAAAACAGCAAACAATCTATTTTTCTGAATCAGAGCCTCAAAGCTTGTTCCTCCTGCCTATTATCAAGAGAATATAGTTGGCAAATAAAAAGATAAAACTGTGAAAATGGACGATGAGTCCAATCTTCTCACATATGCAAAAGAGCCTCTTATCTCCACACAAAAGTTACATTCTACAGAGCAGAAAACCAAAAAAAAAATTAAACAAAGCAATACCTCTATGATACATGAATGCCCAGGATTTTCACACCATACCTGACCAATCACATATGGGGGGGACGTCATGAACTCTTTTTTGAAAAAAAAAATAATAATAATACACCTACACGAGGGATGAAAAATATATAGAACTACCAATAAAAATACCCAGCACCACCCACCCGACGGGAAAAACAAACAGGACTGTAACTTCTACCTGCCTGCGGCTCAATGTACAAAGGGAAATTTTTGGGAACCCAAACTGCTCTCACATTCCGAGTACAGTAAACTACCAGCCTTTTGAGATGTGGCTTTCAAACTCGGGATCTTCGTCCTCTGTGGGCTTATCCATTGAGTGAAAAATTCCAATGTTCTGCAATCCATCAGATACCCAACAGGAACAAAGATCACAAGTTCAGGGAATCCCCCAAATGGTGTCATGCTATATACAGACCACCGAAAACCCAGGTATTAGCGCAAGCCTGGAGGAGAGGAGCATAGAGAAACAATCTGGGTTCCATAATCTAAATCCAGGCAAGAGAACCCCGATCATTAGTAACTTGAGGACGGCCTCTAGTTGGTGTCGGTGGTCTGTTAGCATTAAGCTCCTAAATCCACAAAGAACAATGCAAACAATATCATTGTGAGAACAATGTGAAAAAGTTTATACGAAAAGAATACAGCAACAGATGAAACCAAATAATAGAGAAAACAGTAAGTTGCACCTGCATCCATGTATCTTCTATATGACGTTCAGGTGAAGCTTCTGGTGATGAAATTGCTGGTGGCAACGGATGTATAAGCTTTGGAACCACAACAAGATCTCTACCCAAAACTAAGATTGCACCAGCATTATTTGCTGTGCCTACAGCAACATGCCAAAAAAATGTGTGCGCATGAAGTAAACAAAGATGTTTTAATAGGCTCAGTCACGTATCAAAGCTCCCTAAATAAAGTAGGGCTGTGAACATACCACAGTAATTGGTAGCTGAGAAAAGCGTAATTAAATGTCCCTGGGCAAATCGCTCAAAGCCATCCATCACACATTCGTGTGCCCGTACAATCAGTTGAAGATCATTGTTGTTGCAGAATTCCATCACGCGATCAGGCTGCATTAATGAACAGTGAAAAAAAAATTGTTGTTTTCTTCTCTAGTACATTTTTTGACAAGGTTATTACCCCCATGTATGCAAGCATGCAAATAAACAGGAAAGGAGTACAAAATAATTCATAATAACAAAACCAGAACTTACAGTCATACATAACATGACAAATAAAGTGACAGAACATCGATATGCCAGTGCCAAAAAATATGATTTTATTAACATGATTTAACCAATATTGCAAGAAGAAACTACTAACAGTTTTTGGAGTATAGACAAGTACGCATAAGAAAGAATAATTTACACAATTACGTATAAATAAACTAAAGCCATCATGTAGGTTACTGGAAACTGTATCAAATGAATGTATTAGAGAATTTCAGCTAAAGAAACTGTGTAGTTAACAGCCGAACTTGCAAACGGCGAGCAAGTAGACTGCTTAAGGTAATTTTACTGCTGTTCCAGATTTAATAGATACAAGGTCTTCCAGTTTTGTGTTTTTGCTTCATATACAAGTACACCCTTTGATTTTTATGCACAATGGGCTTGAGATATTGAACTCAAAAGGCTTAAAACTATAGTATTCAAGAACATCAGAGCTAACATAACTTTGGGAACATATGTAGTGTTTCTTGATTGGATGACACACCCCTCTGGTTTGGCATACCGTTACTCGCTTCTTGTCTAATGTCTACATTCAGTGAAAAAAGGCTAAAGATGCATCTAGTTCCTTAAATGGAGATGGCTGATTCACCATATAGAAAAGGACAGCAACTAGGATTCAATTGTCCAGTGCAGCCTTTAGCCTCTATGTTTGCCGACCTCAAGCTTCTGTCTCGCTAGATCCACCATTTTGTTTGAGAGAAGGTGTTACATAGAGACATTATCACACCATTTGTCCAATTTGATAATCAACTTGTTGATATGTTTATTAAGTTGTTGAGTAGTTCTCGGTTAAGAGATATTTTTTCCAAGTTGGGATTATATGTATATATTCAACAGCTTGAAGGGGAGTGTTATAATGAAAATGAGTGGCACCACGTAATAACTATATCCCAAGAGGGTTATATTAGTCTTAGTTACATTTACATACATATATACATGAGGTGAGGGAGAAGGTATGGTTAATACTTCTCTCTCTCTCTCTCTCACACACATACACACAAAAAAAAAAAAAACCTAGCACACATTTACATATACAAAACGAACCACGACTCAAAACAGCATAACAACTAAGTCTACCCCTGCCGCACTATGTATTGGAAGGAGTACCTTACCACGTACCAGTACGACTTACCACCTCAATTCACGATCCAGGTAGCATTGCTCCCCACCCCCACCCCACGACTCCCTTCACCCACACAATCACCCACCCCCGCATCCTGACAAAAGATAAAAGATGAGAACACTCACCCCAAAGGTAACCAGCCCAGGACCTCTTGCATTTGGTCGTAATCCTTCCACACTGTCATTTTCTGTTGGGTCAGACCTATGAACAAAAATTCATAGAATAAAAGGTTAAGTGACAACCACTAAACAGAAGAACTTTACAGTTAGCATAGCACCATGGAACAGGATAGAAGTGCACCAACCACAATAAATCCATGAGAACAATTGAGCCTGCTTCCATCGTAATGGGACGCTGAAGATTCTCAATTTGCTCAACATGATTTATTGACCTCCCAATCCCACCATGCATACAAATGATCTTTTTCTCAATTAATGCTGCCAGAGGGAGCCAGTTGAACAATCTGTTTATCCGATGCCATGCCCAGATTCCATCTCTTTCACCCTGTTCAGCACATCATTAAAATTAACTACTGTCACCGAAGAGGAAGAAAACACAAGCAGTTTACCATACATTATACATGTAATACCCTACCATGCGTTCAATGCACTCAATTCGAAAGCCAAAAAGGGCATTGATATCTGCAGCTTCATGATTCCCACGGATTAGATGTACATTTTGGGGATACTCGACCTACAACATTCATTCATTTGTACAAAGAACACATCAACTTGTCTTAGTCCAAAATAGGAGTGAGAAAATGGTTGCCCATGTGGAAGAATAGACATGCCCAAAAGTAATAGTACCTTCAAAGCAAGCAGAAGACTAATAGTTTCCAAGCTGTGCTGGCCGCGGTCAACATAATCTCCTAAGAAGAGATAATCGATGTATCTGGTAGTCAACTACATAAAATTAGCGTCACAATAAAGGTGAAGATGAAAAAGTTGATGGGATTATCAAAAAAAGATTTATGTAAAATTTGTTCAGATGTCACAATGAACGCAAATGTGTGCAGTTACTTTCCAAGAAAGATGTTAAACATATGGTGAAAAAATAACACGCACACACGCATAGACACATGGGNAAAAAAAGATTTATGTAAAATTTGTTCAGATGTCACAATGAACGCAAATGTGTGCAGCTACTTTCCAAGAAAGATGTTAAACATACGGTGAAAAAATAACATGCACACACACATAGACACATGGGCACANTTCAGATGTCACAATGAACGCAAATGTGTGCAGTTACTTTCCAAGAAAGATGTTAAACATATGGTGAAAAAATAACACGCACACACGCATAGACACATGGGCACACACACACACACAGACGGAGAGAGGAAAACACTGCTATGGTGATGAGATGCCATGGCCGATGCCACAGTAAAACAAATTGGAATAACAATTGAAACGTCAACACAAAATGAAACCATCTGCAGAACCTATAGCACAGTATATCCATGTTGAGGTCGTAGATTGCCTCGTGACAAGGCACCTCTGGGTCGCAGCTTTGATTTGCATTGGTCACTGGAGAATATGGTCCTAAATAATGGCAATAAAGCCCTAAAGTAAAACAAAAAAAAAAAAGAACAGAAGAAAGTCAAAAGCATGTACGGCNAGATTGCCTCGTGACAAGGCACCTCTGGGTCGCAGCTTTGATTTGCATTGGTCACTGGAGAATATGGTCCTAAATAATGGCAATAAAGCCCTAAAGTAAAACAAAAAAAAAAAGAACAGAAGAAAGTCAAAAGCATGTACGGCCAAATCACACAAAATCCACATCTTCCTTGTAGCTCTTTGGACCAAAGAATCAAACTGTAAATGAACATGTGATAGTCTTAGTCTTTAGGTAAATATGTTCAGGTTCTGAATGACGAGTGGCAAACTGAAATAAGTGTCGGTCACATAGTGGTGGATGACGTAAAACCAGGAGTTCAAAGCACAACCCCTGATTATATATCACAAAGAAAAAGAGAACAGTGGTAACTACATAAACTAAACAAACAACATAGTACAAAACAAAATAAGAAACCAAAGGTTCCCAACTTTGGATAGTAGAACCAAGTTACACAAATGACGGTAACAAATAATAATTGTCACAGATCAACAAACGTACACATAGACGATGTAGGCATATACACGTTCGTGAACATTTACATCCATTTAATCTTGCAAGCAGAGAGTGGTCATGGAAATATGTCAATTCTGTAATCACTAATGATGTATATCAGTGTATTTTAAGATTTTCATTTCCATTTCTGCCACTTCAAAATACACAAGGGCAACATCTATGACTTGTTACTTTTTGATTTGTCCCTACTATATGCATTATGCACATGCTTATGATTGTAATGGATTCCATTGGGTCAGCTTGGTTCGTGATTGTAATAATGTGAATCCCACAGTTACAGTAAAATGAGGCATGATGTACAGTGCGGGAAGACCAGTATTGAAGCTGGGATATCCTGATCTCTTATAGATAACACTAGACAAAAGGCAGTGACATCGGTAGTAATAGTTATGATCCAAAGGTTACTATAGACTGTAGTAAAGCACCAGTCCTAGGAATAGCGGCCCAGGATGGGAAATCGGAAGACATGGAGGGGATTTTGCAAAGATTGTGTGGTAAACACTTGCAAGGGGGACAGAGAGGAGCTAGGAAGAGATGATGAGGGCATTCAAGGACAGCTAGTTCAGTGTCAGTATCATGACCCTTGGAGAGGTAGATCACTCAAAAAGATCCCTTTGAAGGTGGCTTTCTTCAAATGGACAGTATCATGGCCCTAGACAATTCTAGATTATTAGTAACTAGTACAGCATGCAGAAGAAGGGAAGGGAACATTGGCCGAGACAGTAAACACTATGCAGTGGCTAGGAGCTTTGGAATGTCATATTTTCACTGCTGGGGATTTGGGGTCATGCAATGGGCAGTGCATCGGATGTATTTGTGGGAATAGAAGAAACATTGGGGCCTGGGGGGTATAAGGGGGAAAAAAAAAAAAGCAAAGGATATTAGTAGGACGAAGCCAGACTATTTCTCTAGTGGGGGCAACCTAAAACTTATTAATAATTTATAATCATAATGATACCTTTACTTTCACACAAATATAATTAAATAGTACTTTTTTATAATTACTGTTACATTAAAAGAACATCAATTCAATAGCAACACAAGCAATAGTAGGCATATTAAAAAATATTGTACTCTTACGAATTCCAAACTCATTGAGTCCAAAAAAAAAAATCATAGAAACAATTTAAACAAATTAAATCTACCACAAATCTGTTGAACCAAAAATAGGTGTAGGGACAATTTAATCTATAACAATCAAATTTGTCCAATCAATTGAGACAACTTAAACTAAAATGGAATAGGCTGATTCTAAATATAGCAATCCAATTAAATATAACAAAATTCGAGCTGCCCCAACTTTAATTGGACATATAAAAATAAAACAGAAGAGAGGACTGACAGATTCGAAATCTGTCAACCCCATACATAATTTACTGACAGATGACTATTACACTATCTGAATAAACCCAATTTCGCAGAACAAAACTCCTTTACATCATCCTCACCTCCAATTTCCAAAGAGATGCAATAGTTGCAAATACTATTTCAAAGATATTCAGTTCAAATCCAGATAATCAAAGCTCCATTGTCTACTATGTGAGGAAAATATTGAATGGGTAACAATAATAGAAACCCTAACTACAGCACCAAAAAATCAAAAACATTGGAAAACCGATTGAAATGGAGATTCGTTCATGGATTACCTCTTGCAAGCCAGCTGTATAGAATCTCCAAAGCTCCATTTCCTTTAATTTTATCCACTCAATCGATTGGATAAATGTTGAATGAAGCCAAAAATGAGGAGAGGGAATAATGATTTTGCGAAGGAAATTCCGAAGGAAGAATGCAGAGAGAAACGCCTCTATTATGAGGGAACAAACCGAGTGAAAGAAGAAAGAGACGGAGACAGGAGACCTCTGCATTGCCTCTGCCCACAGCCCCAAAAATGAAGAAAGAGACGAACGAATAGTTGGAATGAAAAGTAAGGGACCTGGTAAACGTGTTCTCTTTTATGCCTAAGTAAAAAATGAAAAAGAAACCCACATCTTTCAAAATATAGAACTATCCTTAAGTCTTTTATAATCTTTTCAATGGGGGAATTTCTAAAACATCTTCAAATTTCAAAAAATCTCACTACACCCAAAATTTTTCAAAATTGCAGTGGGAGCACCCCACTGACACAGACTCCACTGCAAATTCGCACCAGGATATTACGAAACAAAAATTTTAAGTTTTAATCATCATATATATTAGGAACAAAAAATTTAATCATGATATATACTAGAAACAAAAATTTTAAGTTTTAATCATGATATATATTAGGAAGTCTGAGAATACAGATTGTGACTATCTTGACACGTGTTTAAATAATAGTATGCATTGGCCATGGCCAACACATAATCATAGCAAGGTATGAGTATGAATTACAATGGCTGGAGCTATACTAGAGACATTGCATCAATCATGAGTTTACTACTCTTTTTAATACATTTAACAAAGCTTCTTGCATGATGAAAGATATACTGTGAACTATTCAAAGCATAGATGACCATTGAAATGTACAATGCTTAAGCAAGTTTTTCAAGAGTTACGTGCATGAAAGGAATAAAGGCCAAGATTGTAGATATGAATTCATATAAGATGCACTCAAGAAGTAATAACCCTTTCATCTCAAACCCTAGTTCCAAAATCTTAACTCTTTTTGGTCCTTTAGCCTTTATTCGACTACCACATTTGTTCGACACAATCCTATTTCTATTATCTTCAATTGTTGGGCACAAGTCTTTGAGGAGCAAAAGATAAAAAGGGAAACATATATGTTTAACCTAAAAAAAAAAAAAGAGAATTGTTTTATCGAAAAAAAAGAAAAAGAGAATTGAGGACAAACAAGACGACCAAAATTAAAACTTGTGGGGTATTGACATAGCCACTATGATAGCCCATATAATGAACATATTAATTATACAGTTATATAACATCAAAAATTCCATTCTTCCATTGGATGCCTTTAAACATTCTATCTTCCTCCCTTTAACCTAGCAGCAAGTTGCACATGAGCATCATTTTCCTCATGCCAAGAGACTAACCATGTATGAGCTTGAGCACATATGGGTGAAGGAATGGATTAATTATATACATTCATGCAGCACAAGTTGTAAACAGGAGTTTGAACATGGAAACTACAGAGACTATAATCTTTGATGTGAAGAGACTGTATCAGTAATGATACTTACGCTATATCTCCAGCAGTTGAAGGGGAGCCATACTCATCAAAAAGACGCATAAGATCCCCAAATTGCCCGTGCAAATCACCAAATATCTTGATGGGAGCCCTGAGCTGTAGAACACTCGGTTCACTTGAAAATATCCGNAGCAGTTGAAGGGGAGCCATACTCATCAAAAAGACGCATAAGATCCCCAAATTGCCCATGCAAATCACCAAATATCTTGATGGGAGCCCTGAGCTGTAGAACACTCGGTTCACTTGAAAATATCCGTTCAGCACTATCACAAAGATCAGCTATTTCATTGCAATCCAAGAAAAACTGTCGGCGAACCGGAGGCTTCCACCCACGAGGTTTCAGGAGATGAGCAATCACCTGAAAATGAAATAAAGAGGCAATTTATTACTATTAAAACATCCAACTCAAAACCAATTGACAATATGTGGAGAGACCCACAAAGCTCATATACTCGTTAGGGAGGCGCTATTGTACCGATGTGGAGAAGTTCTAACACTCCCCCATACATGCAACGCCCACTCACAAATGGAGAGATAGATAAAATAACCAAGTGACATTACAGGGTGCACTTACAGCAAAAAACAGGGGAAACCAATTCCAAATCACAGAAATTGAAACGAAGAATCTTGCGCAATGCAGCCTGAAGTCCAGTTTTGATAACATGTTAAATATCTAACTCAAAACCAGTTGGCAATGAGTGGAGAGACCCGCTCATGTACTGGTTTGGAGGCTCTATTATATGAATGCGGAACAAACTCTAGCAATTACGACAAACAAATATTATTGTCAAACAAAAAGATTAACTGAAAAAATAGCAACGTAATGAAGCCAAAAAAAAAAAACTAACCCAGAAGACTATGGAAGCATATATAGATACAAAATTTGCTTGTCAAACAAATTGCAAAGAAATTGAATCAAAAAGCATAGGAAAATACAGATCCACTACATGCCCAAAAGTATGTACAACCCAACCCTCCCTCTTAACACAGACATAAAGCACTTGCCTGCATCATCCATATTGGCAACTGTTTGGTAAGCTCCAAATTATCATTCAACAAGGCCATGCAAGTATGCAAGGCAACGAAAGTATGAGTGCAACTCATGTTTCTCATCATGAAAGAAACTCTGTATTTTGCTAGCCAACCAGCCCAGATAGACTTTGATTTAACTTTTTTTCTTTTTTTGCATGAAAGAAGAATATTAAAGAGAGGTTAAAGAAGCACAGATGGAGGATTTGGTTTAACTTAATTTTCCATCAGCTGCACAATCCTATCAAGGTATTTCTTCATGGTGAATAATATGCATTTACTACAATGATATAGTATATAGTGTGAACATGAATAAAAGCCTTTGCACCTTTTTAGGTACACTGCTGACAGACATTTGCCTATCTAAAAGTTTCTTTGCAGCTGTTGCATTTTCTGGGGTTCCGTAGCTAACCCGCCTGCCTTCATTTTCAAACTGATCAATTGAAAGCTGTCTGACCATGCCACCTAAAGGTCCACCAGTCTCCGCAGCTACAACAACCTGCAAATGGACATTAAAGAATAAAATCATAACCTAAATAACATATCAAATAGCATATTGACACCAAAGTAGACTTACAACACTCAACAAAAGAGAGAAATTTTCATACTTACAGCCCTATGATGCAGCCGTACTCCAGCTGGAGATGAATTATTTGCCACAGCAGAATCAGGCTTAATTAAGGTAGATATCTGTTTCCCGCTAGGGGTAGCCTCTGCCCCACGATCCCTGTCAGGAAGTTCAACTTCTCCATTAACTTGTCGTGCTTTGGCAGCAGCTAAAGTTGCAGTTATAGCCTCAGCTTCTGCTGCAGCAGCCTCAACCAAGTACTCATGACCTTTGCTCAATCTCCTGCAGAGCAGACCAAATTTAATTCTGACTGAACTAGGAGGTCAAAAAGGTGGTCTGCAACCTCATCGCACCCACCCCACATACAAAAACCAAAAGCAAAAAGAAGAAAACACACACAATGCAAATCAATGGAGTCCTGCATCAGCAAGCTTACCGGGAACCTTGAAGCATAGCATTTTCAGTGCTTATATCAGTATACATATCACCATTAACGGGGGGAGCAACAGGACTTCCCAGCACAACTNAATCAATGGAGTCCTGCATCAGCAAGCTTACCGGGAACCTTGAAGCATAGCATTTTCGGTGCTTATATCAGTATACATATCACCATTAACGGGGGGAGCAACAGGACTTCCCAGCACAACGGCACCATCAGGGACTGCTTCAGGCACCGTCTGTCTCATTCTTTCATCAACAAATCCAAACCTCCCTGGTAACCTTCCTGTCTGTAAGTTGGATGCAGCAGCGGCAGCAGCTGCATGAGAGGCTGCACTTGTTGTTTCGGCAGCAGCCAGATCTTCGGCAACCAGAAGGTCATCGAGCAACACCCCTGTAGAAAAAACATGTCACACTCGATATACTGTCTTTATGTGGACTCAAAGAATAGTAGACAACTTAACATGCCAGTACTAAACTAATGACGAATCCAATATTTCAAGGGGAAAAGAAAAGTTTTACATAAGCAAGGAGAAAATAATCATGAACAATGTTTATAGAGAATTGAATTCTCCATTGTTACTGGCAAGAGGAGATAGGAATCGTGGCTAGGACATGACTGCCCTCCCAAATTGCATGACCCATAGAAGTAAAACAATTAGGAAGACCACAATACACTTAAGTAATAAACAAGGCTGTCAAGACTTCCTAACATGTAAAGAGTAAAAGCCATATGACATAAATGACTATGCCGCCACTTATTTCTTTCTCGTTTTTGCCTTTTTTGGTGTGTTTGTGTGTGTTTTTTTTTACCAGGGGGAAAGAAGTTATGGACATGACAGACACACAAAAACCATAGACAGTTAATGGAAGAAAAGGAATTTTATACTCTCTACTCTCTACAATAATCAAAAGGTTTCAAACAATCCTAGTCATACAACCAAATAAGAACCCCAAAATTGCCACACCAAGCACAGAGGAGTTGTGTTGTCTTCCTCTTTCTATACACTAACATGCATGCACCCCAATCCTCTACCTCTCCAACCCTATATTAAATACTCCTGGAAATAAGAAAAATCAACCATTTATTTTAGACATCAAAACCTAAAAAATAGACCATTCAGGTTAGATNCTCTCCAACCCTATATTAAATACTCCTGGAAATAAGAAAAATCAACCATTTATTTTAGACATCAAAACCTCACAGATCTCGCTGTTTTCCTCTGCACAAATCTAATGACTCAGTTTTTGATATGTATGCATGCAGTTTGAAAAACTCACTCAGCTATATGAGAATTATGAAAATGAGATTATGCTTGACATCATAGGGCAACGTGATGTAACCAACATGTGAATAGTTGCCAGCTTGAAATCCAAAACTTGATAAAATTACAGAAAACGAATTTCACAGTATGCTGCATGTCTTACCCCCACGTAAACCACCATAGATAAAAATCAAGTCACCTACAGCAGCAGCTGCATGCCTACAGCGCCTAGTCAGTTCAACTGCAGCATCTCCACCAGCAGCATCTGCACTGTATCTGCCTGTCCTGGGACTTGTAACAACAGACTTTGTATCACACCAAACTCCGGCTGCAGTATCCAAAACTATACAGAACAGAAATATGAGACATTTGTGAGAAATTGATGTAACTGGGCCTTGAGTCTTGACTGACAAGCCAGATTCAACTGATCTGGAAGAGTCGGGAAAAAATGCCCAAACAATATTTATATAAGGGAGTGTGTTTGCATGTGGTGTACGTTTATTTAGTCTTACACCCCTCAATATCTTCAGGTAGTGTCCACATTTTCTACAATCCACCATGAAATTTAATGCTACTTCCTTGCCTTATCATGCTTGCCAAATTATAATTATGGTATGCTATGAAATGTTAATGGTTGAAGGGGGAATCTGTAAATATTCAGAGTGTGGACCCCAATACAGAGGTGTGTGGCTAGAAAGTATTACACTTTGTGTAAACAGATCCTTCCAAGTGTAAAAGATTGAAGAAGAAAAAGTACCTGCCACACTTGATGAGTCCTCCACCATGCGTCCACCACCAAGTGCCCCTCCAGATACATGGAGCCGTGCATTAACAAAAACCTAGTAATAGCAGGATATGAGATGATTGTATTTGTAGATATTATACACAGCACAACCTAAACAAGTAAAAAAATAGAAAAAACTCACAGCTGCATGTTGATATCTAGAAGAAGGCGAGACACCAGGAGCAATGGCCCACTCCCAACGACCATCCCTATGTTTAGCAAGTCCATATGCACTTGCCAATGGCTGCAAAGAATTAAGCAGAGGATAAAATGGATTAAACAAATATGAGAGTAGCAATGGAGTATGCTGTTCGGGAAAGAAAATTTTTTAAACAATTGTTTAATTTTATTGCTGACGCAGCTGTAAAAAGGAAAACACAAAGAGATCACCGTCCCAAAGTGTAAAGAACAAAAACACTCTAAATCCACAAAGAAAAATAAGAGAAAACCCTCAAAATATGATATTCAATTGATTCATTAAAACCTGTAGTACATAGGGCAATTTATAGGAATCCCAAAACCCCTAAAGGTTTCCAAAACGGTCCAAAATCCCTAGCCTGAAAAAATTTTTAAAAACAAATAAAACACATGTATAATGAAATTAGAAAAATTGACATGGTTTAGACAGTCAATTACTCTAGAATATGNTCCAAAATCCCTAGCCTGAAAAAATTGTTAAAAACAAATAAAACACATGTATAATGAAATTAGAAAAATTGACATGGTTTAGACAGCCAATTACTCTAGAATATTCCTAAATAAATTCCAAATTTAAGAAATAATAAAATAAAATACAAATATAGAAATTGTCGATCTCGTTCTACATCAAACCCTCCCTTTTGAAAAAAACTTGTCCTCGAGTTTCTATGGCTTGAAACCATTTGATGTCTCGTCATTTGTTGGCATCCACTTTGTATTGCAAATTGATCTTCTCAAACACACCATTGAGTAGATTTGTTACCCTCTCAAAAATTGAGAAAATATTCTGTCATTCAACATCATTTGGTAACTGTCGCATGGCCTTAAGAATTTTTTGACAAACATCGGAAAAAGCCAACTCAACGCTCACCTCACATTGACTTGCTTTCAACTAAAGAATGTCAAAATTATCAACATCAAATTTTGCCATATGACCATATTTAACTTGGTCAACAAATCCATAGTGCATGTTTGCTCCCACCCTTAAATTGTTGTAATGCAAAAGAGAAGTGTCATCATCTCGCAACGTAGAAATATCAAGATCAAATATCTTCTAAAAATCATCATCAAAAGAATCTAATAACTCATAAATAGAACCAACTCCACAAATTTGAGATCTTATATAAGCTTCTCCTCGACAACTTTACCTATGTGTTCCTCATCAATTTCAACAAACTCACATGTATCAAGTTTNTAATTGATTCATTAAAACCTGTAGTACATAGGGCAATTTATAGGAATCCCAAAACCCCTAAAGGTTTCCAAAACGGTCCAAAATCCCTAGCCTGAAAAAATTGTTAAAAACAAATAAAACACATGTATAATGAAATTAGAAAAATTGACATGGTTTAGACAGCCAATTACTCTAGAATATTCCTAAATAAATTCCAAATTTAAGAAATAATAAAATAAAATACAAATATAGAAATTGTCGATCTCGTTCTACATCAAACCCTCCCTTTTGAAAAAAACTTGTCCTCGAGTTTCTATGGCTTGAAACCATTTGATGTCTCGTCATTTGTTGGCATCCACTTTGTATTGCAAATTGATCTTCTCAAACACACCATTGAGTAGATTTGTTACCCTCTCAAAAATTGAGAAAATATTCTGTCATTCAACATCATTTGGTAACTGTCACATGGCCTTAAGAATTTTTTGACAAACATCGGAAAAAGCCAACTCAACGCTCACCTCACATTGACTTGCTTTCAACTAAAGAATGTCAAAATTATCAACATCAAATTTTGCCATATGACCATATTTAACTTGGTCAACAAATCCATAGTGCATGTTTGCTCCCACCCTTAAATTGTTGTAATGCAAAAGAGAAGTGTCATCATCTCGCAACGTAGAAATATCAAGATCAAATATCTTCTAAAAATCATCATCAAAAGAATCTAATAACTCATAAATAGAACCAAATCCACAAATTTGAGATCTTATATAAGCTTCTCCTCGACAACTTTACCTATGTGATCCTCATCGATTTCAACAAACTCACATGTATCAAGTTTAATTACAATAATCTCAATTGTGGCATCATCCCAGGCGACATTGTCACTAATCTTGTCTTCACCCTTCCTGGTAATCTTCAAGACGCTCTCCAACATCACCATAAGTCCATTCAGTCTCATTATCTTTCATATATACTTTTTTATTACCATTAGTTCTTTTCTGATTTGAACCTGCATAATTCTTGAACAAGGGAATAGCTGATTGAATAAACTTGCTAACCTTTGTGTATTGTTGCAGGTGTTGCTAAAATAAAATCTCTTCATAATCTAGAGATAAAAATATCTCTTTTAGTAACTACTTCATCTTAGGCCACGACCAAATTGAAGTTTTTCGTTGTCTTGCAAGTGACGTTTGTACTTCTTCCCACACCAAGAACAAACTTTACCCTTTAATTTATATCCCACTAATTTCACCTTCTCCTCATTGTTTGTGACCCTCATGTAATTAAAAAAACTCTCAATCTTAGTCAACCAGTCAAGAAAATCTTCTATATGAAAGGAACTATTAAAAATAGGATAGTCAACTTTCATACAAAATTTCTTTGACTCATAATCATGTCTTCTATGATATCTATAGCATAATCGAAGGAATCAACATACCCGTAGCATACTCATCACCATCACAGAAATATGTAATAGGTGTTGCACGGGCTGGTGCACCATGAACATTCTATCTTGTAAGATAAACAGGAAGACTATCTCGAATGAGTTAAACACGAGCCATATGCCATTGAATACCCATTCTTGATCGAGATCCTGGTTCAAACCAATGTCAACCGAGCAACCGTAACCTACAATTCTTGCAAGGCTTGTTTGGCATCTTGCTTGATTTGCTAGAATCGTCAAAGAATTCGACTCTCATAAGAACCTTTCCACATAATAACCGTTACGGAAAAAGTTGTCACCACTTCGTTGGTTAACAATCATAGGCGTAGATACTAATTGACGCAAAGGTACGGAAAAACACAACGAGATCCCCATCTTTGTGTAAAATACAAAAACACTCATAATCCATAGAAGAAGAAAAAAGAGAGAAAGAAAACTCTCAGAATATGATATTCAATTGATTCATTAAAGCATGTAGTATATAGGGCAACATATAGGCATCCCCAAACCGCATGTTTGGATGGTTTTGGGTAAGGGAATTGGATTGGCTTTGCCAAACTCTCCCAAATCCAACCTCCAGCTTTGTGTACATGGGATTCATAGACAAATCCTATCCATACCTANATAACAATGAAGCTTAGAGAAAAATATAATATCTCAAAGGCTATATCAAGGTCCTTGAAAGAGCAAACTAGAAATGAATGATACCAAAGTAGTCTGGATACAACATTAAACGTAAGCCAAGCATTTGGTGTCAAATATCGTGCAAGATAGAGTAGATGAAACCCACCACGCTGTTTGCATCCCTTCCTCCACAAAGCAGAAGAAGACCATCAGAGCGTGCACTTGCAGTCGCATACCTACCAAAGTGACAGGAGCAAATGAAACATAGAGTAGATGAATTTTCAGTGAAGTAAAAAGTCAATACAACTAGACTAAAGCGCATTACACATAACCGTAGCAGCAATCTATGACAACAGAGAAGCAATGAATGGCTGCTATCTGAGGATTATATTGATTTTTTAATCAGTGTGGCAAATCACTTACATGAGGCAAAACGGNCCATCAGAGCGTGCACTTGCAGTCGCATACCTACCAAAGTGACAGGAGCAAATGAAACATAGAGTAGATGAATTTTCAGTGAAGTAAAAAGTCAATACAACTGGACTAAAGCGCATTACACATAACCGTACCAGCAATCTATGACAACAGAGAAGCAATGAATGGTTGCTATCTGAGGATTATATTGATTTTTTAATCAGTGTGGCAAATCACTTACATGAGGCAAAACGAACAGAAAACTTGGAATTATTTATATTATTAGCATAAGCCTTGGTATTTGCATATCCACCTACTAGGGACACACCGCTAAAATTTAGACATATGTTTGACCAGCGATCAATTAAAATCATCAAATATGATGCAAGCACATGCTCGAACATAACTAAACATACATATATAGCACATTATCAACAAGCACGAACATACCTAAACATACACATATAGCACATTACCAACAAGTAACAGCAGATATTAACTCCCAGTTGAAACTGTATCACATCTTCCATAAATGCAATGCNCAAGTAACAGCAGATATTAACTCCCAGTTGAAACTGTATCACATCTTCCATAAATGCTATGCAGATTGAAGCCTAATGTCAATGTAGTTTGATCCTCATTTCACTCTATTGTCTAGTACAATTCTCGCCCCATTATTCCCAGACTTCTAAATAACCACAAACCACCCTGAACTCTAAACTGCTCGTTCTTGGCATACCTTCAGCTATGAGAAAAGGTGCACAAACTCACAGGATACTTAAAAGAAATAGAGCATATTAAACAAGGAAGTGACAACTCTGGTGATCGGGACTGAAATAATAATGTATAGAACTGCAAGAAGAGAATTTATACCTACACTATCAGCTGTTCCTTAATATGCTACAAATAAATTAGGGATTAAATACATTTCTGATCCCTAAAGTATGACTTGTCAATGTGCTCCCTCAACTACAAATTTTGTCAATTGCATCCCTAATGTTTAAAATAAGTGTTTAAATGGCCCAATAGATAACTACAGTTTAAACTGTAATGGAAATACCCATGTCCTACTCACGTAAGGGATGTACAAGGGGCAATTGTGGGAAAAAAAAGGGGGCTCGTTAGCCTCTCTCAAAATATATATAATCTTTCTCTCACAAGCCTTGCCTTAATCCCTAACAATCNATCCCTAAAGTATGACTTGTCAATGTGCTCCCTCAACTACAAATTTTGTCAATTGCATCCCTAATGTTTAAAATAAGTGTTTAAATGGCCCAATAGATAACTACCGTTTAAACTGTAATGGAAATACCCATGTCCTACTCACGTAAGGGATGTACAAGGGGCAATTGTGGGAAAAAAAGGGGGGCTCGTTAGCCTCTCTCAAAAATATGTATAATCTTTCTCTCACAAGCCTTGCCTTAATCCCTAACAGTCCCTAGGGCACAATCTCTTTCCTCCTACAACCCACTTTCCCAACATCCATTGTCTTGCAATACACCACAGTCCCCCCACCAAACCCCAACTGGCTACCAGCCCCCGTAGGACAACAACTCCCCTGCAACCCCTCATCAAACAAGAGACGGGTCAATTCATCTGCCTCTCTTCACTCACTCTCTCTCACAATACACTCTTACAAACCTTGTGGGCAACCCTTCCCCCCTGTGACTCTACAACCCCCCCCCCAACAGCTTATTTCCCCTCCCCCTCCAGCCACTGTCACAGACACACAACAGTCAACATCCACCACCAACCACCCATTAAACCCTGACTGGTGACAACTCCCAGTTGATCACTCCCTCCCCCTGCAACCCATCCTCTCTCCCCCCGAAAGCCTCCCTCCCCTACCCCTAGTAGGAGACCACCAGTCACTAACCCAAACCAATCTTTCACCAACACAGATACCCACCCCAGTCATCCACCACCACCCACCAAAACATCAACAAGCACATGGGTAATACACAATTTCATCAACGAGATGAAATTGTGAGTGTGTAGATTTTTAGTGTTTTGGATTTGGATTGATGTGGAAATTTGCAATGTGCGTATGATTGGACTTTCAAGTGTGATGTGAAATTGGAAAAGCCCTGTTGTTGGGTTGCGATGGAGAAGTGGATCCAAGACGGTGGAGGTAATAAGTAGGTTGGTGTCGTGTGTTTGTGTGATAATGGTGGTGGGAGAGAAGCATTGCAGTGGAGTAGATGGTTAGTTGGACCCTAGGAAGGGGAGGAAAAGGAGGAGGAGAAGGAGGGGAAGGAAAAGGAGATGGAGGAGGAGGGGCTCGACCTATTAGAGATTTGATCCATTTGATTCATAAGAAAATTTTTTTCCCCACATATACCTCACGTGAGACACAAGTGGTATATTTCCGTTGCTCAATTAAAACTGTCTTCGATTGGACCATTTAAACAAAGATTTTAAATATTAGGGATGCAATTGACAAAATTACTAATTGAGGAACGAAGTTAACAATTTGCTCATATTTATAGACCAAAAAAGTATTTAATTCTTTAACTACAGAAAGCCAAATAGTATTGCATGGAAGCACGCCAACAGTCCAGTAAACTTGAAGGAAACCAACTTCCCCTACNTTAAAACTGTCTTCGATTGGACCATTTAAACAAAGATTTTAAATATTAGGGATGCAATTGACAAAATTACTAATTGAGGAACGAAGTTAACAATTTGCTCATATTTATAGACCAAAAAAGTATTTAATTCTTTAACTACAGAAAGCCAAATACTATTGCATGGAAGCACGCCAACAGTCCAGTAAACTTGAAGGAAACCAACTTCCCCTATGCAATTATACCACACAAACACGCAAGGAGAATGGTCAAGAAAGTACAGTATGGTCCAAAGGAAATACAAGGGTGGCAAAACCTGAATAATGTCATGCTTATAAAGAGGGAATGGTATCCCAGTTGATAGCCCACTGTGAAGTAGCTGGTGTAGGTTCTATAGTTGAACTTTTTGAACTATAAAACAAAATGGTATGACGAGCAACTTCAAAATTTCTGATAATTGGGATTTTACGTTTTTAAGAAACACGCAGAGATGATTTTTTTGATATATATTGGACCACAAAGTCCTCTGTGTCTAGAAATTTCATTATTAGGAGTACCTAAAAGTAGAGGACGGGGTCATTGCAATTGAATTCATACATACTTAAAATAAGGCTTCGGTCAATGTTGAGAAAACACTTTATTGAACTGAGCAAATACTTAAAGTTTTTGCCACAAGCGATTGGATGGCTTAGCTCTCTCAAAAGTGGTGTTCCTGTCTTCTTGGCATGCAAAATCAATGAGGATGCACTAGCTGATCACAGGGAGGAGTCGAGGGCTAGGTAAATGAGTCAACCTCCGTAGATCTATAAGATTATCAATCTTTGTCCAGTGTTTTCTTCATGTTCCTTGTATTTGTTTTTCCACTTCTCTTTATTGATTCCCCCCATCACCCTAGTTTTATGCATGGTTAAGTGGAATCATTACCCTAAAAATTCACAGTTTAATAACAACACAAATTCAGGAGCATAGTNTCCACTTCTCTTTATTGATTCCCCCCATCACCCTAGTTTTATGCATGGTTAAGTGGAGTCATTACCCTAAAAATTCACAGTTTAATAACAACACAAATTCAGGAGCATAGTTTTTTTATTATTCACAACACCTACTTGGTGCTTACACATATACTACCTCTATTATTTCCACTATGCCACATAAGATAGCATATGGTAGTAAATCATGGACATGGTCATGGTTGCAGTTGCAGTTGCCCGGGAAATTTATAATTATTAGATACCAAGGACAAGTTTCGTTGTGCAATAAATTACATAGTAAAAAGTCATAGGCCACATATTAAACAGTTTTATTTGAAACAAATATGATGATGTTGCGGATGATATTACNATGGACATGGTCATGGTTGCAGTTGCAGTTGCCCGGGAAATTTATAATTATTAGATATCAAGGACAAGTTTCGTTGTGCAATAAATTACATAGTAAAAAGTCATAGGCCACATATTAAACAGTTTTATTTGATACAAATATGATGATGTTGCGGATGATATTATCTCTTCCTGAACAATGCAATTTTTACCTTTTGGTAGCATAAATGGTGTTTGTTAATCAAGGCAAGCGGAGATGCATAAAAAGTTCACTAACTAACTGGATCTATGCCTAACTTATTACCAAATTATAGTGCTGAGCTAACTGTTGGAAGTCAAAACAAACCAACTGTGTTACATCTAATATCTTCCACAGCAGAAACATGCTGTGCACAGGTTACACAACTACTAACAATCCTACCCACATCAAGCCAATTCATCAACATAATGTTTTCAATAACTTACGAACGAAGTATGATATTTCCTACAGGTGACTAGGTGAGCGGGAAGAAAAAGCACCGACACATGTAAGGACAACTTTGCTTGGAAAAAAAGTCAATCAAATATACTTCCCGAGCATGCTATTTTTTCGATCAGGATCAATCATATTATTAATCTTAAAAATGTAAAGGTAAATTGTACAATGCCAGTCAAGGGTGGACAAGATATCTAGACCAAATACCATTTAAGAGAAACCAAAAACTACATTCCGCATGCCAATGCTTGTAAATAGTGTGCTGAGAAGTAAAAAACCAGACTGGCAAAAAGCATAAGAGTGGAAAAGAATTCAGAAATGTACATGCATGGAGGTGGACCTTCTCCTTCTGGTTCCAATTTCCGCCATTCATAAGGCTTGGCAGCAGTGTCAAGGGCCCATACATCAGCCAAAGGTCTCTTTCCTGGAAATTGTGCAGCGAATTATTGTTTCCTGAAGCCATATTACAAGTGAGACGAAAGGAAGCATCAGTGCAAGAGACTGACCATCATTTCCACCAATTGCCATGAGATATCTTTGCCCCACCAGAGCCATGACATGTCCATAACGTGGCCCTGGTCCAGGGCCTTGGACCGCAACCCTGCAAGAAAATTAACATTGTTTCAATGAATATTTAATTTGCATATGATTACATCTGACAGGTGAAAGTGCATAAGAACGCATCTTCAAGTCAGACAATAGCCATTTTTATGCAAATCTGTCAAAGGTTAGGTTTTCCTCCAATCTACCCCTGCCAAAGTCTTATGTAAGCAGGCCCACAGTGGGTAATAACCTTTTCGTTATATGCATTCCAATAATTGCAAAGTTGTGACTTCAAATTTGAGGAGAAACATTTTATGCGGCAAATGCTAACAGTACACTCTCGATTAACAGGAACCGGGCTTGCNATGCATTCCAATAATTGCAAAGTTGTGACTTCAAATTTGAGGAGAAACATTTTATGCAGCAAATGCTAACAGTACACTCTCGATTAACAGGAACCGGGCTTGCAATGTTTCTAATGTGCATAACATGTTTCAATTTTTAGGTATAAAAACACATGTAATATTGTGAGGCAATACATACACAGATGTGAAACCAAGTCATTCACGAGACTAACCTATGCCATCGCGGCCTCTGCTGTGTGAGGTCAAGAACATGAAGATCCTCAGCAGACAATCCAGCTGGACCAATTCCTCCCTGTGTTGATGGTATTCAATTGTTAGTAATGTAAAAAAATTAATATATTGCTACCCTTCAAGTGAAAAAATGGACTTCTGAACCATCACTGTATCTGCCCACCTGAATAACTACCATAGTACCCACAGCAGTTGCCACATGAGCTGCTCTTGGCGTGGGTGGTTCTCCAATTGGAGTAACTCTGTAAAGTTCAGAAGACATATGTAACCATATCACAACTTTCTAGACTAAACATAAGCAATGACAAGATGGAAGACGACATGCAATTGAAGGATCTGGTAAGTGATCGTCAATTCAGGGATACCTAGACCATTTATTTGTCAAGACATCATAACAGTGCACGTCAGCTGTAGCCCCTGCTAACCCTGTGATCAATAGCAACATACACAATTAATAAAAATTCAAAACAGGAAATGTTTCCAAACTAACAGTGACTCAGAATTCTGGCCTAAAGAAGCAAAGAGTATCATCTTTCATTCACATTATTTTCAAAATGTGAGTCGGCATAATAGTAGAGGGCAAATCCACCAAAAACACGTGCTATGTAAAAGAGAGCATGCTTCACTGAATATGTGTATAGCTAAATATGTTCCTGCATGAGTTTCAAAGGAATTAAGATGATTTTAGCCAGAAACATCACCACTGAATACTAGGTTCTAGTAGTAACAAAATAATGAAGTTTTTCAACATATCAACATAAGAGCAACAGCATGCAACTTCACTCATTTGGGTTTGGGCTGCAAAAATGTTGAAAACACACTTGAGTGAACTGCAGTTCAGAAGATAAAGAAGAAAACAAGAAGAAAAAAAAAAGTAACTCTAGAATTTCAATTAAACTACAGCTGCTATGATTTCATTAAATCGACCAATAATAACACATTAGGTTTATTGCCACCATACCCAATAAGCAAAAGAAAGCATAATTGAACTCAATTTACTTGACCATAACACAATCTAGGGCTCTTCATATTTTTGATAAAGAAACCCCCTAAACCGAAATCCCACAAATGCATCATATAAGAGAAATGACAAAAGAATTGAAAAAGAGGCATACGAATTCCAGCACTTCCAGCCGATGAAGGAGTCCCCGTGGCAGCTGAATTCCCCTCCAAGGCCGTAGCACCACCAAATAGTATAAGCCTAGGTCCAATATACCCCGGCGAGCCCTCCTCCCCAACGGCCGCAACCGCTGTCAACGTGTGCCCACACCTCGGGCCCGGCCCATCTTCCTTCTTATCCATTATCGCATTCACCACCGAGTACGTCGGCGCGTGCCTTGGCCCCACTACCGGAGAGGAGCTTTGCAGAGGCGGCTGTTGCTGTTGCTGTTGCTGAGATGGTAGCGACGGTGGAGATCCTGACGGGCTCGGAACCTGAGAGTCATCTTCAGAGGTAGTCCCGTTCTGCACCGTCGGATCCTGATCGGACTCAGACACCATATTGGAATCAACATCCATGTTCTAAACCCTAAATTCCCAAACTTGTTATCGAGATCGGAGCTCCAATCTCACCGATTAGCAATCTCAAACCAAACTCTCACCTCCAAACAATCCTTCACACTAAAACCCAAATAACCTTCAATTCAAAACCCTACCGTAGCTCCGATTCCTCGATCGAATTCAGTAGAAGTTCGAAAATTTTGTCGAGGAAATGAAAATTTTGGCTCTCTCTCTAATTAACTCGAGACGGTCCAGGAAACGTAGGAGAAAATATCCAAGACGAACACAACTCAAAGTGCACCAATCTCTATCTCTCTCTCCCTCTCCCTCTCCCAAATCCCCCACTTTCTCTCTCTACCAATTTCACTGATCCCAGGGCCCAATTTTTCTCTCTCTCTCTCTAGACACGCATATGTATGTGCACGTATAGATTTTCCCTCTCCTGGAATTGGTATTTTCTCTTTGTTTTGGTGTTTCTCTCTCTAAGAACTCTGTGTATGTGTGCGCGCGCACTGCTGAGGATACCCAGACGGGTACGTGGGCTAACGGCGTCAGATGGGGTTCAGCGAATAACGGTGATAACCGGTTCCGATTTCGACGGACGTTCGCCTTTTGTATACCCTAAGAACCTGATTGGTAAGAGAGAGAGAGAGAGAGTGTGTGTAACGCGATTGGAAGGCGCGTGTTGGAAATAAAACTAATCCGGCCTGACAAATACATATGAGGTGAGAGCTGGCATTTATTAGATATTGTATGATTAGCACCATTAAAATATGGTAATGTATAATTACCTAAAAAAACCATCCACCTATCAAAATTTCACTCTTAATAGTAAAATTATGTCATAAGTATTTAAACAAATTCATGGTCGACCATAAATTTTATTAAACAATTGTAACTTTTTATTTACGGTTTACAAATTTTAATTTAATCTTTAAAAATTATAATTTTTATGATCAATTCAATTATTTTTACGATTAATCGTGCATTTTTTGATTCGTAACTTATACTTCAAAAATTATAGCTCAATTTAAAAACTATATAATTTTTAGTATGATAAATCTTGCCCATTAAAATATTTAATTCTTTTGTTTGTAAAAAATAATTTGCTCTTCTAATGATTTTTTTGTTTATTGGCATGAAAAAATGTGTAATTTTTACGATGAACACCATTTATACCCTGTTTGGTAGAGAAAAAAACATGTGGATGGAAAAATGAGAGGGAATGAAGTATTTTTTATTATTTGGTGAGAAAGGAAAAGTGGGTGGAAAGAAAAATAGGAAGGAAAGAGTTTCTTCCGGGCCTACTATTTTTTATCCGCCCAAAATCAAATATAGGCAAAAAATGGGAGAGAATTGTTAGCTGTCAAAAGGTAATTGGATTAATTTATATTTATACTCTTATGAATTACATATTCTTCATAGCTATATTTGTATAATGAGTACTATTTTAAAATATTGTTATATAACTTATACATGGTAAGACACCTAATGACATTATTTAATTATTTTTTATAATAAAATTCTAAATTATGTATGTAATTTTTTTTCCATATCAAACAAAAGAAAACTCCTATTGTAAGAATTAAAGGTCAGTAAATTTCTTTCTATTTCTCTTCTAAATGGAACATTGTATTATAAATTCAAGTGGGTTTTATTGTATATAAGTGAATCAAACATTAATTAACAATAAATTTATAATTTAAACTTAAAAAGACATTATATATTTACAATTTCGTTTATTTACATAGTAGCTTGTGTTGTTGGCTATTATTTTTAGTATACATATTTACATTTATTTGTTTATTTATTTTTATAACTAATTAGAGTGACACTTAATTACTTAAATTTATTTAAATATATAAGGGTATAATGGTAAAACTAAGTACACGTATCTTTTATTTCCATCCACTTTTTCTCCAATACTAAATAATAGGAAATTAATTATTTCAATTTTTCATCCATAGTATCAAATATAAATGAGAGAAAGTATATTTTCATATTTTTCTATCATTTTAATTTTTCATTCCTTGTACCAAACAAAACATTAATCTTGGTAATGAAAACAGGCCTTTTCATTGGGATTTTCATCCTCCCAGTCCTCTTTTGTTTGAAAAATGTTACACAATTCAAATAAAATTCAAAAAATATAACTCAAATGCATATCATCTCTTGAATGAGTGAGTCTTACAGAAAAAATTGATGAGATCTACTCATTTAAGAGATACTATGCTTTTAGATTATAAATTTTTAAGTTTCATTTAGGTTGTGTAGCATTACTCATTTCATTTTTTGTTAACTTTGATTCAAATATCCACCATTAAATTTATCGTGTGATAATTGTTTGTACCAATATAAATATTAAAAAACACACAAAACATGATAAGCAAAAGGATCTAATTTAGAACTGAGAACTATAGATGTCTTTTTTTAAGTGAGGAAAAAAACATGAAAGTTTTTTAGCTTGATAAGCAAAAGGATCTAATTTAGCAACATGAGAGGTGTTTTCTCCAAATAAAATAAAAGGGTAATAAAGCAATTAATAATGTGTTATTAGTTCTCATATTCCCTAAAAGTTAATCATTCTTATTCACGAGGTGACATATTTTAAACTCCCTTAAACTATGGTGGTTAGTATTCTAGAGGTCAACTTGTTCTTCTTTAAGTGTCATTAACGCTACTACCACTTGTTGTTGGGAAATAGGGGGCTTAGTGATACAAGGGCTCAATATATGTGTTTAAAACTAATCTATCTATCTATATCTATACTATTACAAAATGTCAACAAAAATAAATTTTTTTGATTAACTCTAATAACCTTAATAAAATATCTAATACCCATATTATCCAACTTTGTCAACAAAAGTAAAAAACTTTTGGTTGACTATAATAACCTTAATAAAATATCTAATATCCATATTATCCAACTTTTCACTTATAATAGAAAATTTAGTACTACTTATAATTGTGGGAGTTGGGTAGACTATTGGACTTCTGTAATTAACAAAAAATTATGAATAACTTTCATTTTGCCAAACACAAATTATAATGTAATCTCCCAAGTTGCTAATCTTTCCAACTCCACACTCCACCGGTATTTCCTTTTTCATCTCCCACCTTATTTTTACTCTGTCATATCCACCTACTCGGGCGAACGCTCTCACTCAACCTTTCCATATTTCAGTCGTTGAGTTCTCAGGTAATCTCTCAATCTTCTTTCTCTTGCAATTTAGGCTCACACCCTCTCACTCCCTACCTCTTTTATTTTGCCTCTCTTGATTGTTTTTATGATTTTGGTAAGGTTTTCATCGAGAATTATATTTAGTTCATCATTTTCAGGTAGTTCATGCTTTTGGTGGTTAGTGGTGTATCGAAAAAAGGTAATGTTACTATCTACATAGAAGCAAAAGGTAATGAATCTATTCAACTTGGATAGTTTGCTTCATTTTAAATTTTGATTTTTTTTAACTAAGCAAGAAAGCTTGCGGTCTCTCTTGAAAGAACATGTGGAAGATAACCATCAGTTTTCAGCTCAAATATACCTCCAGTCTTTATAATTATTTATCCCTAATGAACATACCTCTTTTATTTTTGAAATTTTCACTTATTCTTTTGTCCATTTGTGCTTGCAGGAAATTAACAGTAAATGAGGGAGAAAAGGGAAAATGAAAGTGTATTATTTTAATCTCATGAAAAAATCAAATTTTTTTAAATTTTTTTTTACAATTTTCATTTACTCTCCTCACCGATGTTACTTTCCTAAGCAACATCTCAATCCCATACAAAAAGAGAAAGAGAAGTGAAAATGGTGGCCTACATGCTTGAATCTAAATTACAAATTCTATGGATATCGGGCCCGAATTTTTGGGACTTGGATTATTTAAATTGGGTTTAAGTCTTATTGAAGAATCTTTCTTATCTTCTCTTTCTTATTGTGGGGATTTTTTTTTTAAATAAAGACAATTCAAATTTTTATGACATTTGGTGTTGTTGAATGGAGTATAACTATATTGTTTGAGCAATGCTACTTAGACCTAATTTAGGTACATAATTCAATGCAATTATTGGATGAGTTGTAAGTTTCAATGTTAAATAGAGCCTACTTTAAATCTAATGATTACGTTGAATTATGTTTTCAAATTAGATTTTTAAATGATGTCCAAATAGCATTTTGGATAGTGTTTATTTCATTTTAAGAGCTTTTCATTCAAAATTAAGTTTGTCTAAATTTTCTTTTCATTGTACGGAAGACATTTATCTTTTATAGATTGAAAACTTATTTTGTATTCTAAACTAAGGATGAGAATGATTCATCCGAATATTAGTTTTTAATTTTTATTCAAGACCTAGCTAACTATGGTTTATTATTATAGTTGTAGATTTATTTCAAAGTTTTTTTGTTTATTGATCATCTAATCATTGATCCTATACTAATTAGACTAAAGACTTGGTATGTCCTTTAAAGACCAGGAAAAATGTGATTCTTCTAAATCATAATTTTTCATTTTCGAGTATAAATTCAAGTTATCATTCATTATTTTAATATATGCGAGTGCACTTAAGATATTGTTGGTTTTTTCACGTTTAAGATATTTTAGAATTTTTTATTATGATGGATATGTTAAAGAATAAAATATAAATTGCAATTCTAAGTAAACTGCCATTTGGTGTTGGTGCAAGCATTGGACTAGGTGAGGGAATAATTATGAGAATTTCATAAATGTGGATGGGGTTGCATAATTTGTTTTTTTGTTTTTTTTTGTTTTTTCTTCCCTAGATTAGGAATGGTGGTTTCTATACTCTATTCCATTCTAATTTTATAGATTCTACATAAATCCATCTTTTTTTTCTTTATTTGCTCTTGTTTGTTTGTTGCTAAAATATAGTTTGAAACATTGAAAAGAAATAATTAATTATGTCACAATTTAGTATTATGCTAGAAAAAAAAATTGTGATATCTATTTATCATCTTAATTGAAAACCTATAAGGAGAAATCTACAAAACAATATCACAAACACAATAATAGAAATACAAATTATAAGTTAAAATAATCCAGTGTACTGCACGTGTGTAACAACTAGTTACTAATAAAAGTACATTAATATTAAAAACTTTTAATTTACTATTTTACCCTTATAAAAAATTATAAAAGCTAGCATGTCCTTTTGTATTTAGATATTCAAATTACTATTATATTCATTTGTATTTAAATAACAAACTAATCTCTAACATATCATGCAAACATCTCTATCTTTGCAAAACTTTTGAATGATCATGTTATGCTTACATGATATATAAAAACAATATTATTCTTTTTTTTTTTCAAAACTCCAATATTAATACACATTGACAAATCTATTAATACAACAAAAAACAAGTCTATACCTCTTACAGAAAATAAGAATCATTGGATGTTTATAGTTATAAAAATAAAAGAATACAAACAATTTAAGTATGATAAAGATGAGATAATATCTAATGTAGCTACATAATTAGTTTTTTATGTGTTTTATCAAATATTTCAACAAAAAGATTTACGTGCAACGCACGTCATGCATTGCTAGCACAAACTTAAATGTATAAGCCTACATTTGTGAGTTCATTTATAGTAAACTACAATACTTTCACTTCATTTTTTATCCGATACAAGTTTTTTACAAATGTAATACCCAATAACTTCCACATCGCATGGGAGGCATTTGAAGCGATAAATTTAAAAGAAAATCCAGTTATATATCATATCATTCAAGGTTTTTTTTGAATATTTGAAAATCTACAAGTATAACTAAAGTTTTTCACGCACACCTATAACTAGTACTTACGTTAACTTTGTATAAAATTGCATTCATCTATACTAAGAAGATAGAACTTGTCCTTAAGTTCGCTTACCATAAGAGTAACTAAGATTCATTCAATCCAATGAATCAAAATTATCCTCAAAAATTTTTTCCCTCAAACTTGAAAACCCCAATCAATTAAGAAAAAATACTAAATAAAATTAAAAAATTGACTTAAAAACTTGACTCAGATAAATTACTATCATTGAATAAGTAGTGAGTTTCAATAAATATTGGAACTCACAGTTAAATTAATGACAAATATAACAGTCACATCATTAAGTTAGATTTTTAAGTCAATTTTTTAAATCTGTGAAACATTGCTCATCAATTAATACTCTTTTTACAATAACCAAAGTTAGACTAAGTCTTCTTTGTCCTATCTCTTTCTTCTCTCTCTATTAGGGATGATGAATAATTTGTTTTTCGATTGTAGAATTCTAAGGAATACTTTGTTTTTTATTTTTTAAAATTTAATTTCCCAATAAATGTTATTTTTATAATTATCAAAAAAAAAATTTGGTATTAAACTGTGCCTTTAACAATGGGTAATTTCTAGCGGATATATACACTAAAAATTAACCATTCCAAGCATAAAGAAAACAAAAATGTGATCTATCTACAAGTATGATGAAGTACAGTTGGCAAAACACAAGCATTTTGAACTGTTCCATTTGTCTAGTATGAAGACTTGGTATACTTACGTTTGAAACATTTGCCAAGTTTGAGGGAATCCTCGAGCCATGCCCTTTATGAAAATTTCAACGATGGAACCATGCCAATTGAAAACCAGTAGTTTCCAATGAACTTCACTCTCGTTTTCTCCTCTCATTGAACATTCTTCTCTTTGTTTTCCACCAATTTATTAATAGCTTTTATCTTTCTTGTTTGACATGTATTTAGTATTGACAACCAAGAACCATTACAAACCACATAATTTATGGACGCTTGACTACTGTACTAATTTACGAATATGTACAAATTTTTTTTGATATGTATTACGGATTGATGGAGTAATTATCTCCAACGCTTGTCCTGTAGTCTGTCTCCTTATGCATAGGATAATTATCAAACAAAATTCTCTAGAGTGATCTAAAGAGAATAATCAAATTCAACATCTACATTTACACACAGTAGACTTGTGACCAACTTATCAATTCTCTAGGATTAGTTCGAAAAACATCAAGAAAACTATATAAATGGAAACTTCGATGAAACTGTTGCATATGTACTATTTTCTCTCATTTATAAATCGTGTGTAATCAAGTTCATATCCACCTATTAACCAAGCAAGTTTGGCCAGTTAACCTGATTTTAACCTGAACAATTGTCCCGAGTCCCAACATCATCAAAAATGGGCATAGATTGCATCAAAAAGAAAGAAAAAAAGGAAAAAACTAAGCCAGATAACCAAGCCTCTGATAAGAATGTGAACAATCTTTGGCCCAAGTGCTATTTTTGTCTCACTAGTTCTACAGGCTATCAGATACTTTTTCTTCTGCAATCTCAAGTACAAATACAATCACAACTCTCCTATGGTAAAATCACATAACAGTACTTTGCAAAACATACATAACAGTACTCTATAGTAGTAGCCAATTTCACTTCACTAAATTAATTAGAAGTACCACAAGTATGAAGATATACATGTATACCATGTGAACAGACCATAGTACCCATAATAGAAGCCTGTTACTAGCAGACACAAGCCAATTGCTGAAAATATGACATCTATGATGGGTTTGCTTAAGTTGATGAAACCAGGAAAGGAACATCTTGTACCAGTAATAGCTTATAACCGATCTCTATCCAGTGTTCATTGGGCCTGTATTTACTGCCTTTTGGAAGACCCTGACTACTGGCATTCCATCACTTTCATCATTCCTAGCCCTCCATGAGCGGTCTTTTTTTCTCTGAGGCTTCTTATGTTGTTTATGGGATGCACTTGGAGGCTTTTTCTTAACAGGGCCCGTACTAGAAGCTAGACCATTAGCTATGTCAAATGAATTTAGATCATTCAGCACATGCTCTAGACTGGGTGCACCTTCACCTTCACTATCTGAACCATCCTCATCATCAGTTGAGTCTGATTCATGCATCTCAGACTTGGTGGGTCCAACAGCATCGTTTGCAGCAGCTTCCTCATTTGAGGATCCAGGGGGCAGCTCAAAGTGGGGCAGCTTGCCGTCAATGTAATCCTTCAAAATTTGGCGGGCAGCTCTAGTTTCATCTGGCAGTCCACTTGAGGCAACATAACCACGAGATGCACAATATGCCCTCAAAAGTTCTGATGCCGAGGGAGGTCGAGACTGCAGCTCATATGGCTTGGGTTTTGGCAGCGAGATTTTGTAGACATCTTCAATGATGTGCCTAGGTACTCGATTTGCCACAACCTGTACAGCCTCTCTGTGCTCCGTCATTCGATCAATGGGTAAAACCCCAGAAGCAATCATCTCATATCTTGAGCTTGTGAATGATGGAAAAACCAATCCAGGGCAATCACAGAGTGTAAGTTTAGCGGATATTATCAGTGTCTGGAAATGCTTTGTCTTCCCTGGCGTTGATGTTACGCCTGTCCGCTTTTCGCCTACCAAAGCATTGATTGTTGAGCTTTTCCCCACATTAGGGTACCCCACAAATCCCACAGTTACACTATTAGATGCTGTACTTCCTGCAACATTTCCACTCGGAGTATGAACATGAGATGGGTCTGTTGTACAGGAACCTGATTTCCTCATCAACACTATCTCCTCTGCCTCAGCCTGTAGATGGGCCAACAATTCCTCCCTGCCATATATTTTTGTATTAGCATCAACACATTCTTGCAGGCTACTTTGAGTCTCTAAAGGGACACTAAGCTGTTTTCCTTCCAGAGCTGCAGAAGCAGCCTTTGCAGACCAGAATACAAAAAGAACCCCATGAAGGCAAAAGTACTTTGCCCATTGGTATCTGAAACAATGCCAAATCACCACATAAAAATAATAATAATAAATCTTAGGACATTAAAAATGGGATAATTGACAGGTAGCAAAAGAAACATTGATGGGATACTAACCTGACAGAGAATGGTAAAAGATCTGCCTTATTAATAAGAAGAATTGTCTTCTTGTGTTCATCAATTTCTCGCACATATGCCTGGATTTTGACATAGTCAATTTTATGACAACATTGTCAGCTAGTCTGGAAATTTGGTAAACGACTAAATATTATAAGGAAAAAACAAGTATTGTATGGCAGAGGCATGTTCAATTCTGATCAATTTCCTCAGTTTAATATAAATTTCCTAGGTCATAAATTCATCATGAAGAGAAGAAAAAAGGGACGGCCATGCTATGACTTTGTAAAATATCAATTCTCGTAAATCATCATATAATGCTAAAAAATAATTGCTTTTTGCAGTAATATAATACGCTCCAGAAAACAGGTTCAAACCTTGAACACAGTCATCAACTTCTATAATGCCGAAGTATAGGTTTTGTATCCAACTTAAACCCTCTTATTAACTTTGCATTGGTGGAACAAACTGAGTAATTGTCTAATCAAATAACACTCGATCAGATGCTTCCAGAAAACTACACAAGAGATGCAGAATAGGACCCTTCATGGTAGAGCAAAACAATAATAGAAAATGACTAAACTACCTCTAACACTAATATACTCTAACACCCTCCCTCAAACTCATGATGTGATAGCAAAGACCATCAAGAGTTTGCCATGCATAAAACGGAAGCACATAATAGTGTGAGACTTCATAATAAACTCCGCCAATTGCATAGTAGAAGAAAGGAAGGGGGAGAGAATCGAGAGATATGGTGCCAAGCACAAAATGATGACGCACAAAGTAGCAATCAATCTTTATATGCATTGTACAATCATGAAACACTGAGTTGTGGCAATTTGAATAGCACTTGTGTTGTCACAATATATAGGGATAAGATTAGATAAAGAAATGCCAAGATCACCGAGCAACCAACATAACCAAATTATTTCAGTTGTGGTAGATGTCCTAACACAACAATTAGTTTCAACTGAGGAACGAGCAACTACAATTTGCTTATTACTTTTTCAAGAAATAAGAGAATCTACAGGAAGAGACAAAAACAAGGGGTGAACTTGAGATCCATAGAGTCTGGTCAGCATTTGAATAAGCTCTAATACCATGTTAGAGCATCCAACCCAAAATTGATTGACAATGGGTGGTATAGCCCCTCAAGTATATAAACAAACTTTGATGGTCCTAATAATTCGATGTGAGATACAAGCTCTCTTAACATCCTCCTCCACGTGAGGCGTAAGCTCGTACGTGGGTTCAACAAACTAACAAACAACTATGCATACCGAGAAACTCAAATAGGTAGCGACTTGACCCACTGACCATCCATAACCTAGCTCTGATACCATGTTAAGATTAATTGCAAAGTATAGAAAATAAGAAATAGAAAAATCTTTAAAACAACTATTAGTTTGCTTACATCAACTACATATGAGATACGGAATAGGAACACTTTTTAGTAGGGCAAAACAATCATAGAAAGTGACTAAACTACCCCTAACAGTAAAATACTCTAACAAACACATTGAACTACGAGTCTATAACCTTTCTGAATAAGTGCTCAAATCGCAAATTTCTACATATCAATACAGTGGGCATGGCAGCTACAGACCCCAAAGAATTCTCAAGAAACTTCTCTCATCACGTCATGTTACCCTAATAGGCCTAATCTATGAAAGCGGTAAAATATAAACCCAAAAAAAAAAATTATCTTATCCGGAAAAAAAATAAAACATTACCTCAAGATCAGGGCAACGGTAGAATAACGGATCCCGTGCATCAACAACCATTACAAGCTGTATTAGAGAGAAAGAGCAAGACAAATATATATATCAACATTTACACAGATTAAATGACATGAATGATGACCTCTTTATTCATAGAACAAGGGAAAAAAGAAAATAATAAATTGAAGCCAATGTTTTATGTAGTTTCAAAAAATGAAGAACTACTGCCTCCACGATAATGGTTAAAGAGACAGGATGTTTTTCAACTCCCAGCAACAAGAAAATATATAATTCAAAAGTCAAATGCTATTCTATAGCATGTCTCGTCATAAAACCTCACTACAGAAGATATGCAAACAACTACAACAGGAAAAACAAAGACAAGTAACTACAAGTAATGAAAAGGGGTTTAATTCTAGAAAAAAGCTACAAACAACCTTTTAAAGTAATTCTAAAGATGGGTCTTCATGATCTTGTTAACATATATCATTCCTTTAGGGAGAAACGCAAGAAGCAACTTGTCAAGTGTATATATTCTGATGTACTATACTAATGCGGGAAATCGCAATCAGACACTGTCTATTACAAGTAGATCATGAAACATGCTACGCAGAAAACATTAACAGAGGGAAAATGCAAGATTGATCCCGCTCATTCATTAGAAGAAGTGCAGCCAATTGGATACATGAAAACTACAAAGAACCATCAAAGTGGTGAAGCACCTGACTGACATAAGTTGGTGGCCCTTTTTCCTATTCTGGTTGGGAGTACAATAAGTTAAAGGACCTTTCCGGGTCAAAAGGTAAATGTTTCATAACAATTGTGGACCAGATCTCCAACATTTTCAATGACTTTAGCTAATAGCTCTTCCTAAGGATCCAGCCAATGAATTTGTCAACTATCTAACATGCAGTCCTCATCAATTCCTAGGCTGGACTAACTTTATAAAAGAAACAAACCATGCATAACTTAGCTTTGTAGCTAATTCCAGATGGTCGGGACATTGGCTTTGATAAACGGAGTTAAGTAGTAGACATGAACGTGGCACAAAAAAAGTGGTGGCAATGAATAGAGATCTAAAATTCATGCATCAAAAAGGGGTTTCAATAAAATTGCAGAACATAGTTCGCCATTTGCATTAATAACCCAAAATAGAAACATAATTCTGCTGTATTCGTTCCCGTAGATATTATTGTCACTGAAAAACTTTTGTCTCGGACAGGGTCTTCAAAGTCACTAAAAAAGGGTGACTGCCACATGACATTCCATTTCTTCTCGGCAGCATTATATGTTATCAACTGTGTGAAGATTTCATAGAATACATGACCACAACCGTTGATAACTCCCCATATGCCACAAAAATCTGGTACAGTCATCAGGTCATGTTGACAAGATGACAAAGAACTTAATGCATATTGAAATTGTGCTGAGGCACGCAACTCAGATTGGGGAGAGGAGAGGCACATCCTTTCAGCCTCACTGCGCTTGAGGTGAGGCAACTTCACCGAAATTCAGCCTAGGTGTCTGAGTCACAAATCAGCCTGAGCCCAAGACCCATGAGATGTGGGCTCTTTACCCTTTAGTGATACAAGTTGGACCACTGGACCTATTGCTTCCTCTTTTTCTACTTCTTATCCAGCCGGCAGGGGCGAATCCACACTGGGGGCAGTGAAGGCAACTGCCCACTGGAATTTTAAAAATGTTTGGGGTATAGGCATAATTTTCAAAAGCTCTAGAATTGTTTGAAAGTTGCCCCCAGTTAAATTTTTTGGAAAGACTACGGGGAGGTTTTATATTTTTCTTCATAAGTGGGGTCTTTAATAGATTTAGAGCCTATACTCAAGGAGAACATCCGATTTTGATAGCTTTTGTAATTTTTTTTATTTTTTGGACGGTAGTTGGTGTTTTAGGTAGCTTGCCTATCTAATTTTTTGCCTAATAGTATAGACAATTGAACTTAGATTTTTTGAATTTGAACTGAGCGACTATGATTCCAATATCCAATTTATTGATCTTTTTTAAAAATTATTTGTAATTGCAACGTCTGTTGAAAATTGGAGGTTGAGGAGGACATAAAGGAGTTCAATCTGCTTGGGTTGAATGTCTGTTTAAATTCTTTGGTGATTGGGGCTTGTATTTGCATGTTAAAAATTCTTTGCTTTTTCAAATTCTATTGATAATGAAATGACCATTCAACACTTTTAAAATATGAAAACTCGTGGTGAAAAATCATGAACATGTATTAGATGTTTGAGAATTTGAATTTTTTCATGTATAGATATATGAATGCTAATTTTTTTTTTTTTTTTCTGTAAGGTCTTATCTACAACTTTATAGTAGGCATTTTTTGTTAACTCTTTTTGTATATGGCTCGTATATACGGTTAGTGTCTTTAATTGACGTTTTTTAGTGTAATTATATTTTTCTGAACATTTGGAGTTTGAATATTTATATGGTTTAAGTTGCCCCCACTACAAAACTTGTCTGGCTCCGCCCCTGCCAGCCGGCAAACAGACTTCTGACCATGACTACTTTTGCCCTTTTTTTTTTTCCTACTTTTGGTCACCGTTCTATTTCTTCCTTTTTTTTTTAATTTGCTTCTGTAGACCATAAGGAGCTTGCTAAAATCTGGGTTTGCAATCCTTAACTTTACTATGCTACTTGGTCCCGAAAAAAATATATACGGTATATATGAGGTTTCTTGGTTCTAATTAAGGTCCTTACTGGCCAAGCACTGTCTTTGAGGGACTGTTCTGATTTTTTTCTTGAATTTTTCCTGTGTTTGATTAAAAAGACTCTGAACCTTTTTTCTTTTTCTTTGTGTGTGGTGCGGTGGGAGGGAGGGATTCTCCTTTTTTAGGTGTTTACACAAAAGTTGGTCTAATTGCTTGATTGTCTTATGAATTAGTATTTCTTGGTTTGTTCAATTACTTACTTTCATTAATTGTTTTCTAATATCCTCAGCCTTCTTTGATTTTGGCCTATGATTCAAAAGGCATTGCCTATATTGAAAAACTTGCCTATGCTAAAATATTTACTTATATCCACGACATGTGCGTTGCTTCGATGAAGCCCACGCTTCACCTTGATCCTTGCACATGTGCCCCAGAAGACGAAGACCTTGGCATCTCGGTGCCCAAAGGTAAGAGCAACAAATGTTCATACCTAATATGGTACAGTCTCTACATTAGACAACTTAAAGACACCGTGACTCACCAGATCACTGCGTTCAACCACCCTCCAAAGCTGTCTCCAGATATCCAGGTTCTTCTCAAATGGAGTAAGAACAAGCTTCTCATTCTCCTCAAGTCTGCAAGAATTAATTTGCTATGAGAACAGAAAGCATGAGAAATGAATTAGGAACAATAAAAATATCTTTGACTGTGACTAAAGTACCAAAGCCAAGAATATACAAATAGAGGCCAAAGGAATGACCTCAAAACCGTTTATCAGATTTACGCAATACAAACAGTAGGTATTATTAAAAAGCCCAAAATAAGATACCTTCAATCTTGTATGCGCATTAATTTCCACTTACAAGTAGATCACATACATCTTATTTATCCCCAACTAATAATAACTCCTAACAAGGGAATAAGGTCATCCGAATACATAATATTGTACCAGTAAGATAGAAAATAAAGCATAGATGAATTAGGAAAGTGTGTTGTACTATAACCGTGACATGGACAACAAATTAATCGGCATTATAAGTCTGACCTTGCAAGGCTTCGACGCCAAACTAAGAAAGCTTGTCTCTCATTGGTATCAAGCTCTTCCGCAGACATTTTAGAATTCCATGGCGGCCTGAAGACGAGCAATAAATACAATAGTCAGACCATAAACCAGATAGTTGGGTAATTTGTTTAAAAATAGGAAAGCACACCTGCGCGGCACACGAAGACTGCTAGCATGCAATGCCTCCTCTTTCTTCTGTTGTTCTCTCCTTTCACCGGGTGTCATCTGATTGGAGCTAGCGCTTGAGTCCCTATCCCCAAAAATCAAAGCATAGCCATTAAGGAAGAAATTCATACAGCCCACATAAAATAATCAGCATGTTAAACAAAAACTGATCTGTTAAACATTCTGAGCAGCTAAAGCTCAGCTCAGTCTTGGCTGTTCAAATTAAAATAAACCAAATTTGATCCAATTTTTAGTCTCTCTGAATTCAGAATGTGGGTATCGGCTTGGCTTGAATAGGTTCATGTATATAAATTATCCTAATTTTATTGCCAAACAATACCTATCCAAAAGAGTAACAACTCTGAACTTAATCCCAAATAACGTCATAAAATATCCACTTTACTTTCTCTTCACTAATAATTTTTTGCAAAATCTGAACGTCTGGGGGCATCAGAGGACCTTTGACTAGCTCACCATCAGTCTTTAGTTTTTCTTTTTCTTCCTTTTCCATGTCTACGAGAGCCAAGTTGCAGCTCATAGTCTTCTCTTCAAGGTGTAGATTTTCTTCTTACAAAGTTATGATATTAACAACATATATAATGGACTGATGTAGGCATTAGGGCATAGAACCAAAAAACTGATTTCAAGCAATTAAACATGAGCACAACTTGTTGCCGGAAAAAAAGCATGAGCACACCTAAGAATATAAATCATTATGTAACACAGACACAAGTAATAGGTCGTGCAATACCATGTTCACATTGAGTGCTCAAATGGGTGTCAAACCATAACAAAAACCATGAATTAAAGTGAATTTATGAGACTATGAACCATAACACAGAAAATTCTAATAAAACAAGTAAAATTGCACAAGAATATATATATCACTAAACACTTAAATGGGCATGAAACAAGCCAAAATAAAATCAATTTTTGTAAATATTAGAATCAAATTAGACTTACAAGTCGATAAGGAGGTTGGGGACGGGATTCTCCACAGAGAAGAGACGTTGGGCCTCATCGGCCTGCTCAATAACGGCATCAATATCGTTGACATCGGTGATTGATTCAAGTATCTTCTTCTGCTGATTCTTGTAGTCTCTCCCCTTTTCCTTAGACTGCTGGATCATTTGGTTGTGGTGCTTCACTAGTGCCCTCCCTAACCCAGTTTTCTCGCTCTTCCCCATATTGTTTTTTCCCTTTTTCTTGCCAAATCGAAACAAACCCTAAAACCCAAAACCCTCAAGCTACAGTTCGAAAAGGTTTCTGTATCTGTATGTGATTCAATGGCAGTGAATGTTCTGTATCTTCCGGTACGAATGAAGCCGAATAAAGCCCTAACAGGAAGAATGATCGTGTTTAATGTATGGTTAAATTACATCTAGACCCCTGAGATTTGTCACTTAAACAGATGGACGCCCTTACATTTGACAAATTACACTGAAACCCTCTGTCAGTAACAGCTAACTACCATATTTAACCGAAGTTGCTAAATGTCTATTTTATCCTTGATAAAATTTAGATAAAACAAAAACTCAAATTCAAAACTGGCCAATCCGACTCAAACGCAAAACCCATAAAATATTCCATTTTTTTACCTCTATCCCATCTTCATCCCAATTTCTACGCAATCATCAACACTAAAGGCTCCTCCATTACACTCTACCATGCTACAACCCTTCTCCCAGAACAGTGAACATGGACTCTTCCTCTCCCCTTTGTCTCTCTCTGCTTGGTGATGTGGTGGCTGCTATGATTACTTGGAGGGATCTGATGGTGGCTAAGGTTCTTGGAGGTGGAGGTGGTCTCGACAACGTCGATTTTGAGAGTGTGATTTCGGTGGAGACAGTTGTAACTATCGCATGGGCGTGATACGGTGGTAGTTTTGATATTTTGTGGTATAGAATTTGGGGGTTAGTGTCTACTTCATGGTGGCAGATTTGGTTGGTGTAGAATCAGTGGTGACAAAAGGGCCAGAATGTATGCAGTGGGTTTGGATTGTTGTGACTTGGTTAATTGTCTGTGTGGGGTTTAGTGATGGCTTTGGTGTTTTTAGTAGTAGATTTTGGGGTTGGGGTGTTCTAGATGGTGGGAAATATGGGTGGATGGTGTTTCGATGGTGGTGGATTGGGGTGGAGTAAATCTCTTGCGCATCTCTCTCTCTATCTCTATCACTCTCCCCCTTCATCTCCCCCAAACATTGCTTGGTGGTTTTTTGCAACAATGGGTACACGGGGTTAGGGTTGAAGGATTGGACGGGGGAGGGGAAAAATGGGGGTTGATTTTGTGCTAGATGCATTTAGGAGTTGAAGATAGATCAAATGTGTTTTGAGGGCATGGATAATTATTGGATTTTCTCTTGAATTTCAGAAAATTTTATTTAAAATAATATGTTGATGTCATTCAAATTTGACGGCAAGTTGAACGGAGCTATCGACAAGGGATGTTTGTATGTTATATGTATCCATAATTCAAGGGTTGATAATATTATTTTTCATACATGAGGGGTCCGTGTGAATTATTAACAAACCTCACGAGTCTAGATATAATTTACCTGCATTGTGTGGGTGGTAATGCATTCTTTTTTGTTTTTTGGGTACAAAAAGTACTGCACTCGTAGTCGTTTTTATTTATTAATTTATGTTTAACAAATTGTATTATATCAACTTTGTGTCTTGTTAAAAAACCATACTCTAGAACATTGCTCGAATTTCTTATTCTGAAGATAAAAGTTCGAGTTTTAAAGTTTACATTAAAATTTAGTGGTTGATCGCTATACTATTATAGGTAGATTCATTCTCAAGAAAAATAATAGGCTCGATCAAGGGCCCTGACGATCCCATTAATGAAAGCCTATCGGAGTGGTCTCTGAGCACTCTGCTTTACTCTACCTTATTTTTAACCTAGAAAAAAAAGAAAAATAAAAAAGGAAATAATTGTCCATCTCGCAATTGCTGTTAGCCTTCAAGCACCTCAATCATAACTAAAGATCATTTCCCTAAATTTGAAACCCATAACCCTATGTTTTCCCTTCTTTATCGTTTTCAATCTCAAATAAAGGGCTCAAATATGAACACGTGGATATCACGTGAAGTTGGCGGGTTGAACGAGGCGGAAAAAAGAGGGAGAAATTATTCATGTGCCCCTGCCTATCCATCATGTGATGTACATGTGCATGTTTCCTTCATTTATTTGGACGACATTTAGGAGTAAGGACCAAATCTAACTAATTTGTAGAGGTGAAGGATGAGATGTACTAAATTAAAACATTAGGGATGAAAGTTTAATTTTTAGCAAACCTTAGAAACTATTGGTGCAAATAACCATTTACATAAAGCCATGGAACATGTCAAATACAAGGGCTATCATAACGTTCTTAAATCAATAACCATCTTTCAGTTAATGTAACCTTTTTTTTATCTCTAGGGACTAATAAGGAGTAGAACAACAATATTCACATCAACGGGGTTTGCTCCCGTTTCGGTGTAAATCAAAACTTACAAGTTTATGTCTCTTTTTTTTTGAGCTACCCCCAAACAAAATATGGAGGATTAAGGAATAATTAGGGTAAACAGGAGTTCATATTGATTCATTTTGCTCCTTTCTAATCTCACTTAGATGTGCAAGTGTGGTATAAAATTCATTTATCCATGACTCACTGGTTGTATCAAATCAATTTGAACACAATATCACTAGAAAGTTCACATTGTGGTGTCCATGTTAGTTAGTGTGGCTATAAAGTTCTTCAAACTCCATGGACACAAATCAACTTGGTTATGCACATTTATGGGTATTGCTTGTGGAGAATTTTGTTGTCTTTCTTTAACACATTACATAACGGTGTCAAATGACATACATCATGATAAAATATTATGCTTTCCTAATAAATGGTTGTCACATGCATGGGCGGAGGCGGTATATGCCTAGGTAGGAACGGAATAAGGATTTTATATTGAGAGGGCCAACAACAACATAGACAAAAACTTAATTTAATAGGTTTATTTAACGGTCATTGTGAATGATAAATTTTTATGCATTGACATCGAAAAAAAATATTTTTGAGCACAAAACTCAAAAATGGTTCATGCTAACATAAAAATTCATTTATGATAATCTCCGCTCTTTTTTTCTTGTTTATAATGTAATTTTATGTCTATAAATAAATCAAAATTGCAAATAATAGTTTTATATGATACCATAATAAAAATAAATTATAAGTTAACCAACTGCTTTTGGTATAAACCATATTGTATCCCAATTTTTTTTTAAAAAAAAATTGCTTTGTTTTTCTCGACATTATCAAAATAATCTAACAATTGTTTTCGTCAGCACAAACGACATTCATCCTTGTGATTACATTCTAAATGGTTACTAAATATTAAATCATTTATCTTTTTGAATACATAAAAGGAAAAACTTATACATTAGGTGTTTTGAAAAACTAAAGGATAATAATATATATTTTTTTTAAAACATAGGAAACATTATAAGAATTTTTAAAATTTGAGGGGGCCATGACCCCCCTAGGCCTCCTCATAGTTCCACCTCTTGCTCAGATAGCACATGCCTACCCTAAATATGTTTTTTCCTTTAAATTATATATATATATATATATATATATATTATGTATCTGTATCTATTCATTAAACTAGAGTCACTGTACAATAAAAATCATTTTGTATGCTTATACTAAATCAAAGTCACAAATTCATTGGAATCAATTTTAAATAATTTTAATTAGTTTACGTTTTGTACAAAAATATAATTAGTCTTTTTTTTTTTTTGCCGTTCGTAGATACTATGCTTACTAATTTGTTGTCTTTTTGGGTCAATGAACTTTTAATTATTAAATAGAATGTAAAATATAAATTATTATTCTATTTCCATTGAATGTAAAAAAAAAAAAATTTAAAGCTTGTTAAAATGTTCGTGTCCACCTAGACACGATTTTCTGGCTCCGTCCCTGGTCACATGTTCCTTTGTCATAGTTTTTTTTTTTCTAAAAGCCAACTTGTATATCCCACAAACTATTTTTGTGGCGGCCTCTTATTGGCCGTGCACACAACATGACACTATCACTTTGTGTGTTAAATCTATTCAAACTTTTCTCATTATTTGTGGGTTGATTTACATACGATAGTTTCATCTAAATCAGAAAAGTAGTGGCTAAATTCACCAAAATCGGATTAACTATTCATGAAAAATATAGATATTCCCAAGTGCAATATAGTCTAGCCAAAGGGCTTAGACTTTAATGCTACCCTCCTTGAAAGCATCCTAGGCATGGTTTGGTGATTACGGTTCATCAAAAGATGTTCCACCCATTACTTTTTTTTTTTTTTTATTATTATTATATTATTGTTCTTGTCATCTTTTCGTAACAACAAAAATTATTTAAATTATACATTCACTACACTACACTCTTGATTAAAACATAACATTCGAATGTGTGTGATAATTCACAAACTATGTGCATAACACATATTAGAACGAAAATTAAATCTCGAAATAATAAATTCTGAAGTATTTTCATTCGAGTTATCCCAAAATGGAGTCTTTCATTACTACATCTACATGTATTGTTTATATTTATTTATTTATTTATTTTTTAAATAATCATGGTCCACCAATTTATATGATTTTGTTGATGGGACAAGATATAATTTAGAAGAAAAGAAAATTGTCTATTTATGTGCAATTATAATGGTCCATCTTATCCTATCCTATCACATGCCACCATTTTTTTTTTTTTTTGGTATTAGTGGCTATGGTAGCTAGGTGTCCCATGCAACATCAAGAATATCATCACAATAGTAATTTTCATGTGGATACAAGTGTAGTGGTGATGAATTGTTAAACCACAAAATTTTTCTAGCAATAATAATACCATTTGTATTTAATTGCGGGATCTAATACATTACTAAACCATCGTTGAATTGTTAGCGTATTCTATTTAATATTAAAATCTATTGTTAATTTAATAATGATAGTAAATTAAAGTGTCTAAATTAAAATTTTAAATTAAGTTCGAATAATATTTGTCTTCTAGGAATATGTTTGATTGTTAATTGGTTCACCATTAGGGGATAGCATTGCCGAACTTTTTACTTTTTATTTTTCAATAACATATGAAAAAAAAATTCAAAAAATGGTAAATTTTTATACCAAAAAGTGATAAATTTCACCCAAAAAAAAATGTAATAAGTGAACTCAAAGGGTAAGTGCACCTACCAAGTTAATAAATTTTGCCCAAAAATATTAAAAAAAATCATGTTGAACCAAGAATAAATTTTTAGCCAATTCAAAAGATTATATCTCTTAAGAGTGGTCTACTGGGTTGAGTCTTAC